CAAATTTTTGATTATCAAGATTCCACCGAAAAACTTATATACATATAGTTAGTAGTGGATACCTTATTGCATTTGACCGGTTGTGCCTTCATTTTAGTTCGCCGGCTGGTGGAACCGTCGTTGCCGCAAGTGGAACTGGTGCTAATACACCGATTATTGCTATCGACGGTAAAATTGAGCAGGCAATGGTTAGTTTTTGCCTGTTTGTTTGGTTATTCGGTTTCACACATAGGAAAATCTAACTTTTAAAAGGATTTGGCTACATTTTATATGTTTTTCTTGATGAACCGGACTGCTTTAGACTGAAATGAATACGTGGCTGGACTACGGCTAGACTAGGTTTCAAAACTATGACTCCTTTTGCTTTTAAATTTAAACGCTCTCGTTTGCAAGTTTTTGTTCGTACTTTTCATTATCACTAAAATGCATAAATTTCTAATATACTTTGATTCAGCTTCCCGCGTCTAATTGTGTCAACTGTGATACAAATATAATTTGGAAACAGTATGATTATTAAAATGCCACGATGGATATACTAAAAAAACTGCTGATTATAACATTAAACTAGAAAATATCTGAGTTGTTGATTTTAATATTTTTGTTTTCGAAATTCCAAAAACTGTGCTTACATTACAAAATTTTTATGAGAATTTTGAATTATGAATTTAGGATTTAGTAAAGACTCATCTGATGTTTGCCGTACGTGAGGAAGTTGATGTTTTAAGAGCAAAAATCATGGAATTGGAAGCTACCGTAAGTGTTTTCTATTTTCTTTTTTTATTATGCCTTAAAACTTAACGAAACTGGGAAGTGTATTTATAGGGTTGATTTTATGGAAGATTTCAGTTAATAAGAAATCACTAGAAATGAGATGAAGTTGAATTAATCTGTTAATGGTATTTAAAAACTATTCTGTTCCTTTTTTTGATACAATCTTATGGTTCAAGATATGTCAGATTAATGAAATGCAATATGTAAATTTTAGATTTTGCAACTGGAGGCTGAGAATACAATCCTCCGTGAGCATGTGCCGGTGGAAATTTTGAATAAATTAAGTTTGCAAACGACACCGCCGAATTCGACTACAACAGCTGCTGCTGTCTAAGTGCCAAACAGTTTAATTTTTTTTTATTTGACCTCCTCGTTCTTAGTAACAATAATGTATATTTTCCCTACTGCTTTATTTCCGGTATTCGGTATTTGTTGTCAATCATATTATGATCCATAAACATACTTCAGTGTTTTTTAAAATTTGCTAACTTTTTTTTCATATCGTAACAGGGAGAAAAAATTTTGAATTTTAATGAGTTAAAGTTATTAGCAGATGGTATTTTTTTGGTTTCAACCAAATTCGAAAATCATCATAGTACAGTGATTGCTTATGGGTAAGATTTTTTGTATTTGTATACAAAAGTTCTTTAATATCGATTAAATTAATCAAAATTGAAAACCGTCGAAGGGAAAACTAGCTATATCATCCTGTGGAATATGTAAATTTATTTACTGTTTGGATTTTTTTTTTTTTTTAAGCTGAGTGAAACGGGTCATTGTCCATGTCACTCTTTAATATTTCGCAAGTAAAATTACCCGTCATTTCGCTCATGAATGTCAATTAGTTTTAGTTAAAGTTAGCATACGTATGTTAATTCTTAGTTTGTTAGGATTTATTAATGTGCCGGGATGCAGTTAGGATTGTCTAGTCATTCAGTAATGTGCCGGAATATATTTGCCTAATATGCATTATCAACAATTCACCTGTTGATGCTTACCACTTTGTAAGAATCTGTCGAATCTTTAACCAAACGTAGCGTAGCACATGTTTATTCTTCTAACGTCAACACGCTTAGCACTTCGTATTTGCTACGAATTTCAAATGCTACCGAGATTGATGCTAACTTTTCCACAGTTTCCTACCATCTTTTGATAATTGTTTCCTTTTTTTTTTTCAAAAAAAAAAAAGAAGTTTTCTAGATTTCAAATTCTAATGAAATTTCATTCTTTGGAAAGATGAATTTTTCTAGAATTCTGAAATATCCAAATGTTTGACATGGAAATTTTGGATTCTTTCAATCAAGCCACGCTTCCGGCTCTTATCCTAATCATTTCCAATTTTTAATTTTCAGCAGTCGTTATACTGAATCAATTTGCATTGTACATAAAAAGTCACCATGTCTCTTCGTCTTGTTTCATGTACCACTGGCAATATCTGTCATCCTTTTTTTTGATGTTCTTAATGATTGTCTCATCTTCACTGTCCTGTCTATCTTCAATTTCACTTCTCTAGGCTATAAAATTTGCAATATATTTTTCACTTGAGCAACAAAAAGTTGAATAATTCCCGATTAGAAGTTGATTAGATACTTTTTGGGTTTTAAGCTTCATTGCTCGAAGTTAAATTAGAGGGTATATCAAAGTATTTTTTTTTTCTTTTTTGAGAATTCACTTTGAGCCTTGACTTTTTCCCATTGAAAATCTCATTTGAACGTGAATTTTTCCGGTCTTTGTTCTTTCGTCTTCTTCAGGTATACTCGTCGTTATGCATGTACCCTTTACCATCATTGCCATCGTTTCATTTCAGTTTTGCATTTCTGCGGTACACGCTACCCTTTTTTCCTAAATTTGCAGTTGAAAGCTACAAATGTGACTTTTGCTGAATCTCCTTCCGCAGCCAGCATTCCTCAAACTTGCTGGAAAATGTGTGAGCAGTTGCAGTCTATTTAATAAAACGTATGATAAATAATTATAATTATGTACATGACAAATAATTACTGCGGAAAAATAGTTCAAAGCTCATGGCGTGTATTTCTTTTTCACCCTTAACCATTATTTTTAAATCAATGTGTTTACCACTACTGGGTCAAAATAAATTCGTACAGTCATTCGTTTGTAAAAAATCTCCCTATCTATATTTCTATTAGTTTGAACTTGTATTTATCCAAAAAGTGGTATTTCCGGTCGATTTTAGATTGGTTTCTAACAAAAAGTTTGACACGAATAAGTACTAGTTAAATCTCATTGCCACTGGGATCGGATGCATTCGCGAAAAATAAGATTTAAGCTTCCCTTTTAACATTGGTATCATTTTAAACACAACCTCACCATTTTAACAATGGTAAGTATGTTAAAAATCAACAAACTGTATCGTAGTGTTGTGATGCAACAAGTCGTTTACGTTGTTTAACTTCTGAAAAATGAAGGAGGTTAATGAGGACAATTATATAATGTTTAATGTAAAAATGAAATCCCTTATAACATGACATAGCTTTTAGAATGATATGAAAACAGAAAAGAAAAGAAGATCTTTAAACATATCTCTGAAAGCAAAACTAAAGAGTAACCTTTGTTGTAATATTACTACCGAATGTGATGACAAAATGCATAAAAGGACGATTAAAACAGGACAGCGAAACAAGCGTTACTGCAGAAACGCTTGTTGGATCAGTAAAAAGAAAAAGTGGCTTAAAACTCAATCATTACCACAGAAAAACACTGAAATGAATAAAACGAAAACGTCTACACAATTAAAGTGCGGGATTTTAGGAGGGAATAATTAATTAACTCACAATTACTGAAATAACTAAACACATAGTCTGGAGCATTGACTAAAATCAAAACTTTGCTTTAGCTATATCAAAACAAATCAAAATTAAATAGAGGTAGGGAAGGTGCAATCCTGAATATTAATTTCTCATAAAAGGTTCTAAAATCACTTAAGCCGATATCTCACTCCCCTGTACTGTGTAAAAAGGATGCAAATAAGGTGCGTATAAAATATATCACTTGAAAAGAATTCACTCCTAAAAGATGAACAGCACGTCCTCCAAAAGAAGATAACAGAAAAGGATGAACGCTTCCCGATTTTTTGAATTTTGAAATACTTTTTAAATAAAAAGTGTTCATTTGAATCTAGTGTTAAACTGAACTATAGGCGACGATCTTAGGAAAAAAGGAGAAATACAATTCATGATTTCACGAAAGTCATTAAGGAGAAAAAGAAGGCTGAAATGACGTCCTGAAACACCAAATATAAATTCCGAAGATTAGATGCACCATCAAATAGGACACGTTTAATGAAATCGAAATTCAGAATTAAGTTATGCTTCAAAAGGGTGAAAATTATGAGACTGATGTGAGTACCCTCTTTTGTTAACAAAAAGAAAAATTCAAAAGCCAAGATGTGAAAATGTATAAATCGTTCTGAATCACAGAACTTTTAAACTTAAAGTGTTGCGCTGAAGTATACTTCTTTCCACACAATCATGCAGATAAGAAAACTCAGCAGTATGAGATCTAGTGAATTAGTGCCATGTTCAGAGTGGTGTGCCAGAAGGTAAAAAATCTCATAAATCTCATTAAATCCTATTTAAAAACCTCTGCCTACGTAATCTGATCCATTTCAGAAATTCTTGACCTGCAAACGCAGAATAAAGTAGAATTTCACAGAAATCATTCCTGGATGAACTCGCTTTGTTGTTAGAAGTTTTTTGCTAAAATCTTGAAAAATCGGTACTATGTATATAAGAAGATAATGTTTTCCCAACCAAAAAAAACAATATAGTGAAGCACATAACAAACTAGTCAACGTGAATAAGATATTCGAAATAACAACATCAGACTCGGTTTTTTAAATATTAAAACCATGATTTACACTCATTTACTCTGCAAATATTGATATTATATCTGATATAAAAAGAGATGCGGATTAAGCAACGTAATTATCCACACTACGTTAGTTTAAAAACAAATTATTGTTGTGCAAGAATCATTCCTGAAAGACCTCCATTGCTGGCTTATAATTTCTTGAATAAACTTATTTTCAGTAGAATAGCTTGTTTTAAAAACCTATTTGCAAAGGAGATGGCCGTATTGCCATTGATAAAATCATTTTAAATAAAGATTTGGAAATGCACAGTAAAATTAGATAAACCATGGCTTGAACAGACAACAATTTGAAAATTTAAACAAGGAAGAAAAACCAATGGAATAAAATTAAAATGCAACTAACAGATCAATGGGTTACAAGTAATATGTATAAACGAATTAATCTGCTTCGGAGTCTGCTGAAGTGAAGAAACGTTGGAAACACCTGGTCGAGTGAGAAACTGATCAGCAACAACATTAAGGCCTGAGTTGAACACAGAAATCAAGCCCGTTAACTGACGTTCTTCAACACAGCATTTCTTTATACTACATGAAGACGGCAAACGAAGTGCAGATGTTTTACGTTTTCGATGGTGCAAAGGAGTCGTTGAACATAATGAACTACTTCCAAAATCTCCATTCTCCTCAGTTTCATCATCAGTGGCACATGAATAAACATTATCCGTAACAGATTCTGGAACCACAGAAGCAGCTGTGTCGGCAGAAACTGTTAAACAATCAAAGCTAGAATCTCGACCTGATTTATGCGCTGCAAATTCCTGCTCCACTTCTTTTTCTTTTGCTTGCTCGCTAAACAACTGCGATGAAATGATGTCTTCCGAGAAATATATATCTGGAAGAGATGTAGAGTCATTATACATGTGTTGCTGGGTTGTTGTTTCATCCATACCGTACATTTCTGGACCAGCAAACGTATACTGTAACGGTGCAAGACGAAGTGTCGAATAACCAAATTCGATTTGTTCCTGTTTTACCAAATCACTACAGTTACTATCCAAATGCATTGGCTCATGACTGAAACGAAAAATTTTTAAATTTGGAGAACTTCCTGGAGAGGAAAAAAAAAACGACTTATGAAAAGTGCTTGACAATGTTTTAATTTCTTGGACAAAGGGAAAAAATAAATGTCAGAAACAATCGTAAACACATGCTAAACAAGAAAAACACACATCACTCTGCTCAGAATTTGGATTTCTTTGTTTTTGCACAATAAAATGGATTTTAAAACAAGGAAAATTGCTTAAATTACGTTAGAATTTTATTACTGCTATATTGTGTATCTAAATAACCTCTAAAAAACCACTTTACTACACACTCCCACTTCTTTTTAATGATGCCCTTACCATACATAACTCCTTTAGGATATATTTATATTGTATATCTGAATATATCTGGAAAAAAAAATATTGTATATCTGAACTACTTTAGGAACTTCGGGAAATATTTCCTCACTACTTCAAAATCTGCACCAAGACTTAGCAACAATATTTTAAATTGTATTTCACACGCACTTTAATTACACACTTTAAACTATAATTTTGCAACATAAAGCTGTTGCTGCTCTCTTGAATTAATCTTAACTCTACTCAATAAATCAAACAGTTTCGATTTCTACCTTTTTCATCCCTTAATGTTAAGAGTTCTTACTTTTTGGATAAATCCAGCAGGTGAGTTGTGTCTTCATCTGCACTCTCATAATCGAAATCATCCATTTCATCCTCTTCGTCATCTACATCAACATAATGAGACGAAGAAAATGTATCCAAAGCCGGCATAGGATCTGTATGTAGCACCATCATAGAGCTCTCTGCTAATCTCGGTTCTTCTACCCACTCGGAACTATTTGCGAACATCGGAAACCTAAAAAATTATTACGATTGTTTTTATCACTGAGATTCTCTGAGAAAAGAATTATCCCTGAGAGAAAATACCTACATGAATAAAATGAACTAACCTTTTCTGTTCATCACGAGCCCTCCTCAATAAATGCAGAATTAATAAATTCCGATGCAGCTTTGCACCACCCCGTTCACTTTTGGAATTAACCATTTTGGCGCATGAAAGACGAATTAAACGATTACACACTTCGGTTTCAATGATTTCATCAACATCACTAACTAGAGGCATTTCTGTAATATTCCACCAACATTTACACTTTGAACTGTTCAATATGCACAAGAAATATATGACAGAAGGAAACCTGTCCGAATGTTATGCAATTTCGTTTATCTTAAAGGCAATAATAGGGGAATTATGATGCAAAAAGCGAGTTTTACTAAATTTACGGATCTGCTCTGCATCAAGTACTGGCATACTGTACTGTCTTATGTAACAACTCGTTTCCATGTGATTTTTAAGCTTAGAACCAACAAACAACCCAACTCATACCACCACAGCTTTGATTCTCAAAACTCATTGTGTAAATGGTCAATCAGTAAGTTTTCCTAGAAGTCTAATACAAGCTGTGGAAATTTTATTTTTAGAGTGGAAACAACGATATAGTAATACAGTGTTCGTAAATTTCGCAAATTTGTTCCAAAGAGAACGGTGTGGTGCGGGGGAATAAATTCATCTACGAGCGAGCCATAGCGAAATGTACCATCCTGTAAGCTTTTTCGAGTTTGAGAAGTGCCAAACAACCAATGTCTCCTCGCTGTGCACTAGGAGACATTAAGTCTATGTACCCGCTTTTACTCCTGTCCGGGGGCATTCCGAATATTCAACGATAAACAACTTCTCTCGGCAATTTAGCAACTACTCTCAAAGTTTCAGAGCCACCTAAATGCTTGTTAGGGTATCCCATCACTTCCCTTCTGATCTACGAACATGTAGACGTACACTTTGGCATACATGAAACTAATAAAAAAGCATAGCACAGTTAACAGAATCATTGATTATCATATCACTGTAAAAAAAAAAAAAAACACACAGCACTGGCCCATGAGTTGACATGCTCGTCTGCGATGCCAACAAACCTTCCCCCTCTATATCTCTTTACTCGGGAAAAGGTCGGGAAAGATGTGTAAGAATTCAGTATGGTGGGTGGGTGTGGAAGCCTTCCTGGTGGTGTCACGATATCCAACACGCAGCTAGCTTGCACCGTGTCGCTCACTACGGTGACATCACCTGCCCAGCATGGTCAACAGCGCCATCAATAACGACGACAACAACGCAAACAAAGCGATTACAGACGACGCAGCAGCAACGCCAATCCGAATTCACACACTCCTGGACCACTCCGCTCTCTTCCTGCGCCTCCTTTGCGTCTCTCTCTCTCTTTGACTAACCGAATGGCACACCTACGCCTAACAGACAGTTTTATGAAAAGACTGGGACGAGCCACGAGTAACAGCACGGAGACGAAGAATGGAACAGACGAAAGTACATGTAACAGAAAGACATAGAAAAGAAGAGAACGCCGGACTTGAAGAGAGACATAGACATAGAGTGAGGAGGAGTATTGGGGATTGGTATAGATGCATGTATCCTCCTCATTCTGCTCTGAGAAGTGCTTGAACGCAGCCCAGGTGAGAGTGCATTGATTGGGTGGGGAGCAGATTGATAGACAGAAAAAGAATGAAGGGAGAGAGTACATGGTAAAAGATCAAACATTAAGAAATGGAGCATGACATCGGCACCAATTGGCAGTGTGCCAGTGCACTTGGAATTACTACTCGCATCATAGCGAGGTTTATAATCCCGGCCTTCGGCAAATTTATGGGAAGTCCCGGGGCGAATTATTCCACTTGCCACATTTGCATTAATATTTGCAGCAGCTATTTACCCAAACTGTAACTTCGAAAGTGGGGGCTTGTAACGGCGGCTGTTGCATTGGTAACTCTGACAGGGTGACAGAACCTTGTCATCATGGCAGTTGGTATGGCGAGTATATCGCAGCTAGTCCAGATTCACTGTGAATATCCGTCAATAACTACCTGAATTTGTATCCACGTGTCGCCCCAGCCGACGTGTCCATCACGTTTGCCGATAGTATGTTTATTCCATTCTGTGATTAAAATATTGGAAGCTATAGTTAGCGATCGATGTTGAATGAAGGTAGAAGAATTAGTAATGCCTCCGGTCAGGCCAACCTTTCCGTGCAGTTGCTTTTCATCGACTTGTTACTATTCAATGTTATTGATAATCACTGACGTGAACACGCCGAATTTGGAAGAATTGACTGATATGACGAAGAAGGAGGGAAGGCTTTGGCGTACATTGTGTCAAATTTAAAAGCTTGATAAGTACTGCTGCGACGAGAAAATTATTTAAATTTAGAAGTGGTTCATTTGTTTCTTAATGCAGAGTATTTAACTATTTACCGGGAAACCAGTTTTCTAAAATTTCATTTTTATTTGGCTGAATTATGCAGAAGTAGTATTATAATAAAAGGAAATATTTAACAATAGGTGACTGGACCTGCTGACCAATGAATGTGGAAAGTTTCTGTTTACTTATCAAGAACATAAGCTGATTAATTTCGACGCCAGAATTGTTAGCGAACCATGTTTCGTAATGAAATCAATGAAAGATTCATTAATTTTTGCATTTCGAGGATTCGCAATTAATTTGGGACTAATTAACTGTGCTTTCGGACAAAACTGACACCCTTCAACAAATTTTGAAAACAAAAGATTGTCCTTAATAATCAATTACGATATTAGCTTATAAGGCATGATAATGTGTCAGTAGCAGTTGACTGGCAGGTGAAATCTCCCGCAGTTATTGTTTTGAAAGAGGCCTAGAAGATCAGAAATCGAACCGCCTATCTTGATCACTCTTTACTACGGTCCTCAAATGAGAATTGATTTCAAAAATTTGATGAGAAAGTCTTCAAATTGAAAAGAAAAAAAACTATAAGAGTTGACAGTAATTCAGCAAGCTGGGAAAGAAAAAGTTCGGAAGGTACGCGACAATAAATTGAAAACTGCATGTAGTCCTAGAAGTAATACAACAAAGATTGGGAACCGTAGTAATGAGTGAACTGCCATTATCTCCAGCCGTCATTGTAACTAACGATTTTAATCGAATTTGACAGGCGATGGAACAGTTTTTAGTCTTTCAGAGTTGATAATAGCATAAGCTTGTTTACTTATAAAAGCACTCCTTATTTTAATCATTGTCACTTTTTTCCTAAACAAAATGGGAAAAAGGAGTTGGGTATTCTATTTACCTCCATTTTTAGATCTCCGAGATGGGCATTGGTAGTTAAATCTAAAGACTAATGAATGCTTACGTTTATATAACAAATAAGCACTTCGTGTTGATTGAGAATTGAGGGAGATTTTTTCCATTGTAATATCGTGTAGAACAGGAAAGGATTCAGAAAATCATCAGGAAAAGAATTGTTTTGTTGTTGGCGTTGAATTGTTATTTCTTAAAAAAATACTGAAAAACAATTTATCAACGAGCATTGTTCGTCTATTTGCAACATAATGATTTTTTTTTGTCCTGGAAAGCACGAGCTATGCTCTTTTTGTTAACCTATCTCTTGGGCTTAGAACCATTTTCCTTTTGATATTCCTGATCAAAAAGTGATGATAAGATGTGGTTAGATCATTTCTAAATGCTGAACACAGCTTTTATACAGGTTCAGCATTTTCATATTATGTTTGCAGAAATGTTGGACGGTAGAAGAGTTTGTTATCACAGTGAAAAAAAATGATGAATTGATAAGAGAATTTCTCTTTGTTCAATCTAGTACAAAATAATTTGTTGCTACATCGAAAATGTGGCTTGAATTTCGTCAAATACGCATAATTCTTTTTTCCCTTTCTTTTTTTTTTTTTTTTTTTTAGATTTCCAAAGGACCTTTGTTTATGCTAAAGATAGAAAAGGAAAATAACTGTGGAATTAATTAACAAAATATTAAGAAAATATTACACTTATTTTTGAGAAAAAGTAATTGTTACATATAATGTAAAGTATTTTCTACTTTGATAATAGTAACTATTAACTATTAATGCGTTCATTTAACATTAAATAGAAAATTAACAGAAAAAAATAAACAAAATTAAACAGAAAATAAACAAATTATGAATAAAAAATTAATAATAAATATCCTCTGGTGTTCTTATCTCTTTCACCTGTTGTTTGCTGTTTAACCAGTACTCTATTCTCAAATCTCTGAAAATCAGTAAACATTTCGGAAGTTACCTTTCCAATCTTAATATTATAGTTTTCTCTTTTTTGTTATACCTGAATGATTCTCATTATAAAAAACATTTCTTACCCCAAATTAAGATTAATCTACGTGTTAAACTTCTGGCTGTGTTTCATTTCAGAGGTTACGTAAAAAAGTTTCTGATAAGATCAATTGCTACGAGTTTGAAATATACACTTTTTACAAGAATCAAGAATGTCATTCTCTGCAAGAATGTCACACACACACAAGTAATTCAATTATATAATCAGGTGTAATATATTTCATATTTAACTGATCATGTAAAGCCGCAAACTAATTATAGGAACTTCATCAAGAGCAACAATTCATTGATCCTGCAGGCAGATCTTATTTTGCGGGTGAAAGAAGATAGCAAAATAAATTTACGGAAGTCGAAAATTTAATCAATGTGCTTCAGGAGTAATAAACTAGTTAATCAAGTCATTTCTATACTGACAAAATTTACTGGAACAGAAATGCATTCAACATTCAAACATACTACTGAAGTTGAAATTAAAATTTGAATCGAGGAAAACCGGTATTTCTCCATTCCTTCATTGTCATGTTGCGTATCTTCTCAATAGTCTTTACCCTCTCTCTGTTTCTTCTCTAAAACTTTTCTTTGTATTTAAACTTCATTGATAGAAAGGGTTTTAATTTGAGGGAGAATTGTGTGACAAATAGATCCGGATAAATTTGTTAACATTAATGATTGTGATGATCAACTTTCATCGAGTTTTGTAATATGTCTAATAAAAATAACTAGCCAAAACAAGCTCAGGTGTCAAAAAAATTTGACTCAGTCAAGGATTCAACGATTGAGAATAGATGAAATTATAACAGTAATAAGTTTTTCTACAAAATTCTGCATAATTATCCGATTTAACAAAATTTCAGCAAGTAAAAATTTGTTCTTACTTTCCAAGTCTCAAAGTTTATAATTTGGATTTTTGTTGCTAAGTTTATAATTGGGCCAATTGCGCTGTGCACTTCCATTTCTCACTTTTAGCACGATTAAAGTACTGTTGAAATTAGAAAACTTATTCAAACTCTCTGATTGATTTGAAAGGAGATACTTTATGAATAGAAAGTGTTGCATCGACTGCTTTATTAAATGATTTATCGTTATTAGTGATCAGTCAAGTGACATATTTTCTCATTTTTGAGCCAGACTTACAAGTTATGTCATAAATTGGGTCTTCAGTTTTTGCTATGCAACTGAATTAAATGATGAATTAAACTGTTAGTAAAACCAATATTTTTTTGTTAGTCATAAAATATATACTGAATATGAGACCTCTGCGCCATGGATTATTACTTCATGAAGAATTGTGTGACTTGAAGTGCAATGTTTATTGTAAATTTATTAAAAATCAAAGTTTTAATTATATTGAGCAAAGCAAATGAAACAATGGACGAAAGGATTTCAATTGAGTTAGAACAAATGAAAAGATACTGAGACTGCAAACTAACTATGTAAATTGCAATGTTCGCTTTTCCGATTTGTTACCGACTCATATTTTTCTCTGCATTAATTCAAACTTTAATTACAATAAAATTTAATTTTTAGGAGAAAATTCCTTTGTTTATTTTTGTTTCAATTTTATTTATTCAGTCCAAACTTCCGCATATTTATCCATGCTGTAAAACAAGCTGGTTCCAAATTTCTAAAAATTTCAAATCTAACTTCTCATTTCTGCAATCCATTAACTCAGTCAGTTTTCTTTTAACTCTGATTTACGCTTCTTGCTGGTAATCAGAATTTCATTGATACATCATTTGCTGATCTTTTCTGTTTAGTTTTTAAAACAGAAAAGGCGAGCAGTTTCTAATTTTGAGAATTTATGTTGAATTGGTGGTCAAATCATGTCATCAATCATTATCTTATCAGATATAGCAAATGGTAAGTTCGTTCTGCTATATCTTCATCCTTCTTTCTTCCGATTTCTTTTTTCCAACATCATTTTCCCGTCAATCGAGTTCAGCTTTTACCAAGACAAAGCAGTATTTGTCTGAGTTATTCCGTAAAATTAAACATTCAGGAACATTTGGTAATTATTCAAATTCAAGTAAAAAATTTACAGGTCATTACCTAAATTCATGTTTTGTTAGTTTCAGTTGAACTAAGTGGAAAACAAAAAATTTAACCTTATTTTGAAGAAAATACCTCATAAATGATTGGATGGACTTATTTTGTCTTATGTATCACAATGATGGGAGGATTCCAACAATCTGCAACATAAACTGTAAAAATTGTCTAACTTTACTGAGATGACGAGAAGTACAAAATTAAAATTAAATTAAATATTTTATGAAAATCTAAGAGATCGGAGATTTTGAATATTTCATAAGTACAAAACTAATTGAAATCGGCTATTTGTCATTTGATGTCTGTTGTATATCTAAAAGGCGGTTGATGTCGTCAATAACAGGAAGCAAGAAATGTGACAGTGGACCGAGAAGCAGTATATTACTCTCAGAATTTGATACCGAATATGCCTGCTCAGATCATGCAGTTGGTTGATTTATTATATTAAAAAATTCTGTAGAAATATTTTGAAATTTGCAGATTTCTAAGATTTTATTGAGTAGTAATGTCACTGAATGCCATTCAATCATTACTGAATTAATCACTGTTCCCAAGGGAAACTCTTTTCCTTGTAGATGGTACGTCACGTGGTGCAGACTGCAGTACGGAACTACTTCTCGGCATCATGCACGATTCCAGCCCATATGACGCTGTGTATCGACTTCACTGAGAATGCACCTACACCCAGCAATTCTACATCCACTGTTCAGTACCAGGCTCCACTGGTGCAAATTAATGTGAGGCGAAAATTTGATCCCAGAAGCACCAACCTTGCGACTACTGCTACAAAGGATGGTGAATTGCCGGTCACATCAGCATCAGAGAAAGATTGAGAAAGCTCTGTCAACTGATGACAGAAATAAAACAATTGCTTCTGGACATGATAACATTGCCATGGCACTTTTAACATTATTTTATTGCTTATCACTGCGCCATCTGAATACACTGACTCACGCTGATTTTATTCAGTCCTATTTATGACTGACTACTCTTTTGGAGCGCAGTTTATTGTCTCAATCTCTGTCATTCAATTTCAAAAGCAGAATATTACAAAAATTTCTCAAAAAAATCTTTAGTTTTTGTTTCATTCTTTAAAATGTCAACCCTAGAACCAAATAGTTGTGGATAACAAAAAATTTAAAAGAGACAAAATTCTCATCAGTCTAAGAAGTGATCATTATTGAAAAGCTTTGCATTTCGGAATGTGAAAGAACTAAAGTTTGTTGGATGAATAATGTATTAAAAAATTGAATTCTATTATAATTCTGTTGTTCAAGTCACAGACAAAATTGGGATTCCGGAAAACACCCAGAATTATTTCTTCATATGTATTACAGCTAATCGAGAAAAGATGGGAACACAAAAGAGAAGCCCAATATTCAATGCTGCCAAAAAGTTATCTGCATTTACTATCAAGGAGAAAGAGTTTGAGGATCTGAAATCAGTGAAGTTAGTATTGAAGATGGTTTTGCACATCTCAATTCGGGCCCATAAATTAAAATTTTACCCACTTCATGACATAAAAGCTTAAGTTAGCGTTTAGATTAAAAATTTGTAAATATCCTTCAATCCAGAAATATCATAAGTTTTTTGCATCTTCCAAGAAGTAATTCTATCTCTCATAAATGCTCAATTTTTTCAACTTCAAAATGATCTTAAAATTTTCAGAGCTGTAACTGAGACATTGAAGTCGAAAATACCATTACAAAGATTAGATTATCTCAAATGTGTTGAGAAAAAAAGAGCTGAAAATAAAATATTTAAATATTTATCTGTTACGTATAAGGTATGTAATTTGTTAAAGAGGAAATGATTATTGAATTTGTTGAAATTATAGAATCATTGAAGGAATGGTGTTACAGAAACTTATGAGTCAGGAAATGCTTATGGAATGGAGAAAGAGGTATGAAGAAGACAAGCGTGCACTTTACTCAGATCAACAAGAAACGACGAAGAATAATTCGAGCAGTCCTGTAAGCATAATGCAAACCAGGCTGATAAAAATATGCAATGGTTTTTTTATAAAAGTAGAATAATGAAACTTTCAGTAAAATATACAAAATCTTAATGCACTTAATATCATCTGCATTCGAAAATTCCATCCTTTTTTGCTTTATTATAACAAACGGAATATTAGCTATAGGTGACAGCTCGTTCGGATACAAATATATCACTTCGCGATGCGGAAACGATAACAAAGGATGAAAGGACGCATAACTGGGGACCAGTTGCTGGTATCCTTGATTTTGAGCCAAAAGATAGCAGGGGAAATATGAGCAAGGCTGTTCAAATACGTGGAAATTTGCCCAACACATTATAGGTTCATAAGACAAATAAATGAATGATATAGTTTGCAGGGTAAATGTTATTTATAAATTCTTTATTTCACATTACTATTTGATATCTGACTTTCGCATTAAATAAAGGGAAATCGAGACATTTTTTTTTCCGAACTGTTCCAGTCCTACTGCTTTTTATTAAATAATTTTTTCGTTTCAATAAAAATTGGAAGACACTGTAAACTGTTTTCTGAAAAACATTTATTATTGCCAGATTTCTGAAAAGAATCATGTTAAACATTTAAAAGTCCTTGTACACCTCCTATTTTTTTTCCACATTTCTGGGAAAACGGATATGACAATGAATAATGAATAATGATAATATCTGTTTAACTACTTTCTAATCAAATGGTGGAAGGACGGTTCGTAGGCCTCACCATATTGCATTATAATTTACCACAAAGAAATTAAACCAGGTGTTGACAGAAGCTTTCCGAAAACCAAATTTCATGAAGAGGACCTTGTCCTTTCAATCAGTTATGTTTTGGAAACTTCGAAGCTTATCTTTCTTGGAAAGTTTTTTTCAACAATTTCGATTTTATGTTTTGAGCACTCAAGCATTTACTTATCGTGCTGTATCGTTCTTTGCAAAACGAATTCGAATAACAGAAGAATAGTGAAATCCTTTGAAGGTTTTAAGCTTTGGTTCTCAAATTTTCATGAAAGTGCAAGTTCACATTGTTATTTAAACATCTAAGGCTTTGTCTGCTATAAATCAAACCATCATCACTAAGTCCTATCTACAGTGTTTACCAGTTTTCCTTCTTCCTCAGTTTATCCATACTATTGCGTCTTCACAAACAACTTCAAAGCAAGGATATGCTGTTGATATACAAACAGTCACTGCTTTAGCTTGACATATTTTGTTCTATCTCACTCAAACCGAATAAGAGAGAAGGAAGAGAAAGAAGGTAAATCCTCTTAAATTCGAGTTTCTAAACTGACCTACATTTATATTGATGTTTGTATAACAGAAAAATGGAAAAAGTGGACCGTTGTTTTGACAAAGAATTAATAATTAAATAGTCCAAAATAAATAGTCTAATAATGATACGTTAGTATCAAAGTTTGTTGAGACTTCTCTTATCCGTAATCGTATCCTGTATCAAATGTTTCTATCACCGATCAGGGAATGGTATGAATTTGTTTTAATCACGAAGATATTAAGCAGTGTAAGACTTCTAACATTCGCACCTCTGATGCATCATCACTCTGATCATAACTAACGCAGAACTGCTTTGCACTTTATCGGTCATAACCCTGATGGGATGCTGGACATAATTCCTAACCGCAAATGAAATCGATTACTGAACAAAGTGTGGGAAGAGCAACCGATTCCCAAGCTACATGTGGGTGTGCGATAAGTGAATATGGTGGTCTTATTGCGTACCGCCATTGGGCCACTCACGCATTGGTGCTTTGCGCAACTTCGGTAGTCCTGTGCCTTAAGGCTAAGGCACCGGGTGGAGTTTAAGTGCGCATGTGACTTAGCAATCTACTTGGTTTTGCAAGTCGATTTGTGAATGCTCCCAGCGATGAGTGGCTTATAAATTTGTGAAAGAATCTGTAGTAGATATCTTTATAGAGCGTACGGATGCTTTGTTTTTGTTTTTGTTGTGCCTTAATGGGCATTGTTTCAAAAGCGTAGAACTGAAGATGCATTAGATATGTTACTTAGTCTTTAGAGTTGAAGGATATTCCTAATTGTGTTATACTACAAAACAAATTACTTTAGGCGCATGCAGGCGGAGTATCTGTAAAACCATTTGCACCGCCAGTTTTAGTAACTTCGGTAGTCTGTGCCTCAACACTAAGGCACAGGAAGTGAATATTTCACGTGTAGGAATAAACAAATCTCATTTGCTGAGCAATGAGGTTGGCTTCTTTCTCCATTTGCTAAATGAAATTAAGAATATGGTCAATTTATGCTGAAGAAATTTTTTGCAAAAATAGAAAGTTAGAATGATAACACTTCTAGTTTTATTAGTCGTAGAATTTCACTCTATTTTTTTGCTCTAGTTTTACTTTTTACTCATAGAAGCCATTTCTTTGATTCCGTAGACAGCTTTTTTTTTGGGGACCGTTTTGTTTAAATTGCTTCAGCGTGATTAAGGCTGATGTTTCTCCCTAGTATCACATGAAATCCGTTTTGTCTTCCGTCCTGTCAGTAATCAGTAATTTCCCCCACCAAAAGTCTGTATTTAGTGACTTCTTTTCGATGCAATACTTCTGTCAGGAATTCTTTTAGCTTATCAGTTGTCCAAATCCCTTGTTACTTCCTTAATTCTGTCTAATATACCCGCTGATAATTTTCAATTAAATTAAAGCTTCCAATTAAAACTTTTATACTGAAAATGCTGCAAGTCCAGTGTACAATTTTTTCCATCGCTTCAATGATTCTTTTGATTGAGTTTAATTCATTATAGAGTGATTTTTTTATAATAAAGGATCTATCATATTTTTCCTTTAATTCCCTTATGATATCGTTCTCCAGAGCGATATCATAACTCTACTATTTTTCCAGTCAAGACATCAAGTAATTCAGTTTTTTGGATGCCTGGGATATTTTGCAGATGAATACAGTTCGAAGCAGCCCCATAATCGCTTATCAAGAAAATCATACCCAGTCGAGAATAAATAAGGTGTTTCACAGTTATCGGCAGGATATAGAAACCTTATTCCCAAGTTGCTGCTCTGTTTTGTCATATCACGATTTTATTGTTTACTCAAAAGTAGCACAGCAATATCAAGGGATATTACTAGATAAAATCAAATCTTAAAATTAAGACTGGTTAAATTTCCAAGATTGAATTCCACAACTAGCACGATTTTGATCTGATAGCTGTTGTGAATTGATCATGGCGTGATATGGGGACATCTCTTATTGGTGTACTGCTGATTTAGTCATTGTAGAATCAGTCCATAGTTAATATCACTTATTAAGCTTCACAGTAGTCAGCTATATTTCTCCTCTTCTTCTTTTCTCAGTTTTTGGACCATGATTCTTTGGATACATTCCAGCGTCATATTTAGCTCTTCCTTTGATATAAAGGGTTTCGGTGGCGAAAGTCCGGTTTCGTAACTTCACAGATAAGTTTCTCGACCTTCTTCTTGGCCAGTTCAGCTGTCTTTATAATGCTGCCAGACATTTTAGCATACCCTGGGCACCAAAAAATTTTGTTGAGAAGTTGTAAGGATTTGTCAGGGTATTGTTCTGGTTGTGGTTCGGAATTTGTACGGACAAACGTTTTCTATAATGGACTGTAATTTTATGTGCGAAAAACTACGTTACACAAAGTATTTGTATATAATGACAGTATACAGATAATTTCGTATAGACTAACTACAAGTATAGCATATCAGTGAAAGGGAACGAATGAGTAGTATGTAAGACCAATGATTTGAAGCTGCTGGTCCTCAAAGACTAACCCGGACAACGGGTATTTGGTGGGTATTGGCTTACAGCAAGCACATGATTACAGTGAGTGAAGAGCTGTCTATCGGTTGATCTTTACTCTTATGCATTTGACACATCCTAGTTGCTTGTGAGAATACTTCGATTAGAAAAGCTTGTACACTAACAATTGTAACACTCCACAGTGTGCAGACAAGTACAGTTGGAAAATGAGTGTCGGATAAATGATTGCTTGCGTAACATACAATTTTAAAACAGTTTTATATTTATCTAAGGAATATTTAATGAAGACAATCTTTAATTTATGATTTAATAAAATTTTTTTTGACATATTATAATTCGATTTTTTCGACACAGACAGCCTTCTAGATGTATTCTTAATCCAAACACTGACATACCACCAAATACATCTTAGTGCGCCAAAGATGCATTCGCGATTTTCGTTATACACATGTGATGCCTTTTATTTTGTTTAAATAAACCACCACCTTGTGCAAATGCAGGCTCAACCTGCACTTTCAAATAAATTTAAAACAGAGGAATTCCAGAAAAGAGCTCAGCCAATAATCTTGAAATTACTACGGGTGAAATAACCTTACTCACTAAGAGATAACCTTCAAGCTAACTCCAAACCAGACTACCTCATAGAGCACTCTGCAATTCATCAAAAATAGCATCCAGCATTCCCTCGCAGAGTGCTTTAAGTTTTCGGTAAAGAAATCCAAAGATCGTTCAATGAATCATTGCAAGAAAAACAACTTTTCACCTTGCATTTAGTAAACTTCAGCAATAGAAACTTTGAGATATCAAAAATAAGTGGTGGATTAACATGGCACAGAAGATTCAGTCATGCGCATATTCCGACGATCGCAGAGGTACTCTACAACCTTTGAAAGAAGTGTATGGACCAACATGTCACAGCTCTCCTCAGTTCTTCCACAGATAAACACTTTATTATCAAATCGATGGTCTGAACATGTCCAATCGTGCAATTAGAACTCAGCAACAACACCTAAAAAAAAGAGCCGTCATATTGTCTACTCTCCTGAACGGATCTGAATCTGTCGCCACCACTACACCAACCACGTGAGACAATATTACCATGCTCGAAAAAGCGGAAATTATCAGGATAGAGGCCATGTTGGATAGGTCGAGTCTTCAGGTTGTAAGGCTACCATCTTTATGAGATTTCGTTCTGTGGTGAACGGCAACAGATGTATCCTTAAAAAAAGTAGAAAGACTTTCTGAAATATTCTCTTTTCTAGATACGATTGTTGTCAGTGGTCCACTATGCCTCAAGTCGAAAGATATACCATCCATACCACTGCTATTTCTTTAAACATATGTAGGACCTGTTTAGTGAACTCTAGAATTTAATCCGATACTTCTGTCGACGAAAGAAAACGTATTAAAACTAATCTATCTGATTTTTCCTTATGCCATTTGCAACAGTACCTGTCTAATACTACATTGGTCTTTTCACTCACCAAAGCTTTGCAGCAAGAATGGGTAGATTCCTTCATAAATTCTCGTTTGCGAAGCTAAGCCATGAATTCCTTAAGCGATTTTTGTGGGAATGAAAAATTCGTTCAATTACAAAAGCATTTTCCCACTTCAGAACAAATAACACTTTTGATTAGATAGCTCATATCTCGAAATCAGCTTAATTCATCAAGAAAATTTTCAACGGAAAGATGCAATGGAATTTTTAAAAAATAGGAGCGGAATACATAACTCTAGAAATCTAATTCGACATTTTTTTTGACAACAATACTGTAAAAACAATGCTTCAATGTATCTTGCTCTTCATCTTTTGCTAACTAAAAAATTTTTTGTAAAATGTTTCTGATTTTAAAACTTATAGATATGAACAGGTGAGCAGCTGCTTATTAAATTACCAAATTGAGCGCAGCAATTTTACATTTTGGAATGTGATAAATGCAAGTTTTATGAGACACCAAAATATAATGGAAGAATTTCAGAATTTAATGCTAAAATATCTTCTTTCTTAGCTAGAGTGATGGATCAAGCGGATTAAGCCTTAGAAGAGAAACGAATTTAGCTTTTAACGGAAAAAATACCGTCAAACAGGAAGTCATAATATATATTAGTTGAGTCATATTAGTATGTTGAATATATGTCTAAGAATTCGAATTACAACGCCAATAATAACTGTCTGATTGTAATTCAGTATTATCAATATGGAGCAATAATTTCGACTAGTCTTTCAAGTGAAGACCTTTTTTTTTAATACTTTTGTAGTATTTGTTATTTAACTGTTGCAATAGAATTTCTTTTTGGTAACCAGAAGTTCCTATCCATGCATGAACTTATTTTACGCGCAGTCCTACTCCATTCGGTATTTTGACTTGTGGCCACACTGATGAATCTAAAATTAAGGAAGGCCATAAGCATTAAAAAAGCTTATGAACTTGTGAACTAAAATGGCAGTTGTCGTGAAAAAATTTGAAGATTTAAAAATATTATTTTCTGAGACATTGTTGATTCCGAGGAGATTCGCTGAATGAGGTGTGGAATAACAGAGGAATATAATAATTCCTTTATTAGCAGAAATAATACAGTAATTTGACAGAGACGAATCATAGTTGTATGACAAACTAATCGAGAGACGAATACGTAATCGTAGCTCCAAAACTTGTCGAGAGCAAATCCGTCGTTTCCTTTACCAAGCTTGTCGGGAGGCGAAGATTCGTTGACCTATCTTTATTCTTAGATCAAACAAATAATGCTCTCCTTTTTGGCGCTTGGCGAAAACAGTGTTGCCTTTTTGGTGATACAAAATAATGCGCCTTATTAGTGTCTCTTTATGTTAAGCAATATGAATAAACAAAATATATTTAGTAAATAAAAATATTATATGATAGCCCTGCTAAACATTACTTGTAAATTTTCATATAACGTATTTCTTACTTTCATATAGTAGTTTAGTGTTTCGCGACAGCAATTATTAAAGCCAGAAGAAATGTGTCAAGAATGTTGATGACATTGAAGATCTCTCTAAACTGAATAATCTAGATGTTCCACATCTCAGATCATCTTGTATGAAAATGGTAGACATCTGCAGTAGAAATGAGATTGTCGAGTGATAGTTACTCGAAATAGAATTAGCCGTTATATACTCATCATTTCGTAGCAATATTGTACAACTTGCTCTTCTTCGAGAATTTTGTAGTCACTTTATTTCTTCTGCTACTATTAAATTTGCAAGTCGTCCTTTGAAAAAGGAAACGCTTTTTTGTAATTTTTTAAATTCAATGGTTTTCGGATTCGAAATTTGTTCAAAAATTGATATTTTCATCAGCCCATAACTGAATAACGAAGGACTGTTCCGTTGATAAGCCTGATAAATATTATAAAGTTGAGGAACTTAAAAGTATAATCATAAAAATTAACGAGATGTACCACTGAACGAGAATAACCAAGATATGTTGTACAAGGATGAGGTTATAGTTCAAATGATATGAAAGTTGACCCATAAGTTCTTGGAAAAGTGCTCATGTTGCAGGCGAAGGATAACATCGACTCGATGAAGGGAACGAGCCACATGACATACTCTAATGACAATATTCGTCTCTATGTCCTTGTGAAGGAGAACATGACGACACATAGTGTCATTGTCCTTCTTTTTTCTGCCAGTTGAATTATTGGAAGGCCTCCTTTCCTCCTTGCTTCCTCCAATATAAGATTGGCTGACAATAGTTCCGCACCGTTCTTGTACACTCCATCTTGTTCAGTTTTTTCGAAGGTAACGAATACTTATTATTTATTTAATTTATTATTGTTATTAATTATTATTAGTTATTATTTATTATTATTACTATTATATTATTGCTATACCAGTGAAGTAAGTATATCGATTATTTTTTATGGTTATTGGTTTTTGTGGTAGTATGAAACTGGAAAACTGTTGCTCAGTGAAGAGCTAAATGCGATGTTGCAGCTTGGCTAGTTGGAATTTCCACATCTTCATTATCGCCAGAACTTTTCAATCTTTTCTACTACTAAATGTATTACCTCAAATCACTGTTACAATTGTTACTTCTGCTTAATTTCAGTGCATCACTTCGTCAACTAATTTACTAATAAAGTGAACTGTGAGCTCTTAAAGTTGCGGAATAGCATTTCGATGTTGTGCATAGATCGTTTCATATTCATCACACCTGTATACTTCCAGTACATTTTAAAATGGAAGGCATTGATGCTCAAAGATTGGAAGTCAAGAAAGAAAGAGCTCCGAAGTTACCTGTTCATATAGCTAAAGAGGTTACCAAAGGACGACTACTGAAGCATGTAGAAATCAGCGAAAAAAGTGTTTTACCCACAGCTCTCGGTAATTTTTCATTTTTTAAGTATGAATGATTTGGCTTTAAAACTTGAGTAATATTGACTGATGCCAGTGCAATACTGCCATAGTCAATACCTTTACCACATATCCACTTCAATTTGAAAAACATTAAAAATAATTTTCAATAATTGATATGGTTGTGAATTCATTCGTAAGAAAGATTATTTTGTTTTCTATTAACCTAATATATTGTAATGCTTCCACCTAGCAATCCATAAGTCCATAGCCGGCAGGCTGCTATCACTTTTAAGAAAGTATAAAAATTAGCATGACGAATTGCTATCTTGAAGCTAATTTTTTTGTACAAATATACTTGCTGTATTTGGTTGAAGGAAAGTTGTTTTTACCAAGTTATGAGGAAAACTTGAAACGTAGCTACTCCAATAATAAAAGAGTTTTTCTAGTATTGGAGAAATAGTGATCTTAATTATGTTTTTATTCCTGAGCAAAACGTTTTTCCATAACCACATGGTAATTTTTTGTTATCAGATTGCAAATTTATATACTCAAAAAAAGAAATATGTTGTAGGAGAAATTGTACTGTATGAATTTAGTAGCATGAAATGGTGATAAGTGAGATAATGATCTTTTTTGGTATTTTATTTCTCGTAGAAGTTTGTTCGGTAAATAAACAGACATGCAAGAGGTTTTTTGCACTTACACATGTTTCACTTTACGTCTGTGTAAGAGTTTTGATGTGACTCATCGATCGAATTTTAGACATGTATCGAGAAAAAGTGGATGAAAATTTGAAAGGAGAAATAAAGACACATGATACCAGTAAACTTCGTCACGCTGAAGTTGTTGAGAAAAATGTATTACCGACATCTGTTGGTAACTTATATTTTCATGATTCTGAGTAATATTGTTAAGACTTCAATGAAATTTTATTAATTGGTCGCTAGCTGAGACCTGTTCTGGCAGAAAATTTTGGAAGTAAAAAATGTGTTCTTATTTATAGTGCTCTTATTGGAACTTCAATATTGGATTTTAAGTTTGGAGTAATATTAACTTCCTTAGTCGACTCAAGTAAGCGTTTTATGTTCTGTTTTAGACATAGCTCGTGAAAAAGTACCAACGTTGATCGTGAACTTTGATACAGAAAAGTTGAAACATGTTGATCCGGTTGTAAAAATAGCACTTCCATCTGTTAATGGTCAGCATATTTCTTGAGAGGCTGCCGTGACTTTTTATTTGTAAACACAAATAAGAGTGCCCCAGCAAATAATAGGAAAATAAAAAAGTAAAAGAATTGTGAATGGTTAAGTTTTTCGTCTCAGTTTCGACTACTAATATCATATCCTCACTTATAATACGAATGGAAAGTGAGAGCTAAGAAATTTTCGGATTGTTAGAACTTGATCTTAGCACAAGTGAAAAAAAATGTAATTTCAATAGAGTGCACTACAGTCTTCTGAATTTCAAACCAAAACGATATTTTTAAGTTTAGATGTTGTTCGAGAGCAGGAGGAATTCAAGGCAGGCGCAAATGAGAAAGGCGGAATGATTCATAATTAACGGTCACTCATGAAAACAGAAGCGCCTTTTAATTGTGTCTTTTGCAACATTTTATTGAGATTTTGATGTGATATTTTGTTTCGAGAAAGTTTTTTTCCTCCTAAACTCCCATATGTCTATGCATCAGTGTGTGTGTGTGTGTGTATGTATGTGTGTGTGTGTGTGTGTGTGTGTGTGTGTGTGTGTGTGTGTGTGTGTGTATGTATGTATGTATGTATGTATGTATGTGTTTTTCATTTACTTCTCTGCTTTAATTGAATAAATTAATTGGCATAAATATTTCAACTTTCTTGTCTTTCTCAGACACACCGGAATTTCTGTTTCATAGATTGTCTTTTGTCGTGGGGAGAAATAACCTGAAACAAAAAGTATGTTTCATTATTTTGATCCTGAACTCTGTCATAGTTTAATTGAGATTAGCATTGTTAATTAAAGCACATTAAGAATTTTGTACAGAAGAGAAATTGCTGAGCAAAGATCCGGAATTAGATACATTTGTGCGGAAAGGAATTCTATCAATTATATGCCTTTGTTAAAGTTCAGAAAGTAAAGTAAATAAGCGAATTCTGAGCAGAGCACTATTTTAAACTCTTCCATCTTCTTAGCCATCTTCCTTCCGACAGGACGATTTTTCCTCTTTGTTCTTATGTGAGAAGGTGAAAACATGTGAAGAATTTTCCGGATTTTATTCCGTGTCCTCCTTTCAAGTTCATTTAATAAATAACCAACTGTGTCTTTGTTTAGTATATAGAAAAAAGAAAACGTAAATTGTGGGAATGATCTCTCATTCTTCACTGAAGCACATTATGCAATCTTTGATGAGGGCAGAAGTTCCCCAAGTGACTCTCTCTTTGCCAGTCAATTGACTCTTCCATTCCTAGAAAAGCCATAGCCCTATGGAAGTTCCTTCCCAGCAATACATCCAAAACTATTAAATGTAATTCTGTTATAAACAAAGTAACATGGAAGGGGTTTATGCAGTATTTGCTCAGAGATATAAATATAATAAAGGAAACAAATCAAAATACTCGAGTAATGGCAAAAATAGTAATTTACCTTTATAGACGCTTACTTAATATATTGTCATATATATTGATATACATACACAGATTTTCTTCTCTTTCACCTAACATTTTAAACAAAAATACCAGTTACTTCTAACAGAAACTAGAACAAATTAGAGAACAAAATGTAATTATGATAATTAATATAAGAAGTGCGCCAAAATTTCTAAACATAAATTATGGAACATCTAATAAATATCGGCAAAAACAAACAAAAAGCCAACTTTCAGCTGAGGCAGCCAACTTTTTGATGAAGTTGAGGAGAAATATATACAATGGAGAAATAATAAAAGGAGCATTCGAGGTAAATAAGACATGAGAAACTTTAAGTGGATCTGACAATTATAGATCTACTTCACTCGTATTTTATTTTATCATTCCTTGATTTTATCCTCTGGCAAATATTTCAAATTCTATCAACTGATTCCATTTTCTATTTTTTAATAACAGCAAAAAAATCGTAATCAGTTATAAGAGAACTGAAATGACTTAACTGGTAATAGGAAGTTGAGACCTAAAAGTCAGGGAACAATTTTGAGCGAGAAATTAAGAGAAATAATGGTAACAATACTCAAGCACCTTGAAAGAAAAAAGACCCTTTAGAAAAAAGAGAAATAAATTATAAAAGTTTGAAGGAAAATAATATGTAAAAGATATAATAGAGACAATAAGGCATTTTCGCAAAATTTGGTTTGTTTCCTGAGTTTTAGAATAGATCTTACAAAATTGCCTTACTGTGTCGATCGTTCTCAGCAGCTCGTCTCCTCTCTTTTCTTTCCATTCTTATCTTCAGCTCATATCAGATTTTATCAGTGCTTTTACGGAATCGTGATTTCAGTAGCAAATAATTATCGTCACCGATAGGAAGTTCCCGCGTCCCTTTACCGTAACGAATCTAAAGATGTATAAGTTTCACGTAATCTTAGAATACGTCAATCTTATTCAATTTATGTTGAACTTCTAAGTCCATTCCCAAATAATTTTTATCATTTTTTGTAGTGATTAAACTTTTGATTGTTATTTTAATAGGTTGTTATTTTTCCAAACGGAGAAAATCAACATTAAAAAAAATGCAATTATATAGAAAGTATTACTTGTTTGATGTAACGATTAACAATTTCATCATGTGACTTTTCGATTAGTAAAGTACTGTGCAAAATTCCTTGAAGAGTACTGTAAAACAGCTGCTTCGCTTGTTCTGGATTTTCACTATTTTTCAGCTGAAAATAATGGATGATAAGCAAAATAAAACCGTCTCACAATGATAAGAAATCTTCATTACTTTAAAAATGAACCTGATCCTGTAATGCACTTGGTATACATGGATGTCCAACCGGAATCTCCGTTCCTTCCAGTGTATTCTTCCACTGCTTTAGTGTTTCCGCATTTTCATAAAGTATCGCATGAATTGCCTCAAGCTCTCGTTCAGTATCTATTTCAAATGCATCGTTTGATTCGTTCGTACGCAAAGCAATCATAAGTTGCCGCTTCCGCTGTTTTTGGATTTGCACTATCCTAAAATTTCAAATCCACCTTGAAATTCTATTCAATTTAAATTTTGTTCTTCTGAATGTAAATTCATTGATTTCAACTCAAAAATTATTTCAATTTAAGAAAGACAAAATACCTAACCATTCATTCATTTCAACGGTGCTCGGTGCCTGAAATTGAATTTCACAATCAGGTGATGCTATCCTGAAAACATTTTTCGCATCTACCACTGGTTCTATCTGGTTCACTTCTTGGAGCCTCATTCGGCCTTTCGGTTCTGCATCTGCTACAATAAATTAACTTAATGTGTGAAAAAAAAAAAAAATATAGCTTTTCTGATAAATAATGGGTCTGAGTGGAGTAGAAACATCTCAAAAAATGATTCAAAAAGAAAAAAAAGATGTTAAATATTTGAAACTGGCTGATTTTTCATTTATAAAAATATTTTCAGCAAAGCGGAATATAGCAAGGATTTACGCAGATAGAATACCAAGTAAGACGCAATTTTAAGTTGCAAAAAATTAAGTACAAGCAAACCTTTTGTTTTCTGCCAGCAAATCTCATTTTCTGTTAGCACAACGTATCGTCGCTTTTGATTCACTAAATTTCTCAGTATCCGACGCTTTTCTCGAATTTTTCTTTCGATGAAAAATCTACAAATTACTTAATACTTAAATTTCCCTCTTAAAATATTACGATTATTGTTAAATTATTGTTAAATGGATCGTCTTTAACGTGAAAATAATGACCTCTTAATATTATATTTTCATCAATTGCTGAAAGAATGAAATATTCTGACATATTGATAATACTGAGGAAGAGTAGAGAATTTGATTAACTTGTCATCTGATACCATATTAATAAAGCATTTCGCAAGATCATAAATCAAAAAACCATTTAAGAGAATGTCAAAAAATTTCACCCATCACGAACAACTGAGAGATTTTCACCATTCACATCTGTGGCATTCTCTGCCATTGATATTGCGTTAAGAAACTTCAACATTGCGAGCCGATGTTGTTCATCTGTGAACCTGCAAGTTCTACTTAATCTTGAACATAACAGTCACTCCAGCACAAGGAATAAAACAAAACGACTACATGTAAATCACTTTCCCTAAAAAAAAATGAACCTCTCAAGAACTGATGACAGCCACGGCTCTTTTTCAGTAAGTGAATTCGCAGAAACAACGCAGTTCGAGAGACGTTGAAGTATTTTTGACAGGAGTACCAATGTACGACAAACAACACCTTCCTGAAGCAAAAGATTAGGCGATAAAATAAAGCCGAAGTTTTGAATTTTTTGGAAATTCGAACCAAAACATTTCAATTTCAGCAGTGTGAAATAAAAAAATTCTCGTTAAAAATCCATAAAAAACATTTTTTTAAAAAAAAAAAAAAGAAACAATACTTTAAAGCGTCTTTTTCAATTTATGAAAATTGTGGCAAATATCTGAAAAAAAAAAAAAGAGTGAAAAACAAATTTTCTAGAAAAAACCAACCGGTTGATCACGTTTGAGCCCAAATGATTTCGGATTCATAAGAGCAGCCGCAAAGAAACGCATGATAATGAAGGAGCTAAGCACCAATCGCTGAATATCTTCTCGACCAGGAAAATGCTGTCTTGCAAGTTCCCGTAAATCGGAAAACATTTCGCGTAATACCAACGGACAACGATGACTTGAATCGACTACTCGTGAAAATGCTATCTCACCGTATACTATCAGATTTAACTGGAAAATTAATAAAAACCGCAATATAATAAAAGTGAGCTTTAAATTAATAGCAAGAAAGCAAAACATTTAAAATTTCTAATTACCTAAATTTGATGGTCATGAAATGAACAAATGTGAGCTACCAGCAAGAATATTTGCTCTCCGTAATAATTGATAGCTTCTCGTATTTTAATCATACATTGCTTATTTTAAATGTTAAGTGTTAACCTTATTCGATTCCAAACTATCGCCTTGTTTTAGCTTCATTGGATCAATCTCGCAACATTTATTCTCACAATAAATCTGAAAAGAGAAATTATAAAAATAAAGAAGGATGATTTCTTTTTATAGTTAGCAAAGTGTTATGAACCTGAAAAGTAAGACTGTATTCTTTTTTGATGATTTAAGAGAGATTAAATGAAATCATAAGGAATTAATATAAAGAAGCTAATAAAGAAAAACAAGAAAAACTCAAGTTTTTTCTCTGACTTGAGGACTGTGGATAAACTTCATAAGTCTAACTGAATTCAAGCTAATAGCATATAAGAAATTACCATGTCGATAACAGGTTTGATTGAGATCACAAGATAATGGTGCCCAAAAAACTTCATTTGTTCATGAATTATCTTCGTTGCCAACGATTGACTTCGAAATAAAGTATTTACGTCCCTGAAAGATATTCTTTTTAAATCATTTAATATGCATGATCAACTTTATCTTAACTAACTTAACAAGAGCGATAAAGGACTAGAATTCGATTCAACTGGTAATTAAGTAATTTCTAAATGCTTCTGGCATATTTTTTTTCTTGGGAAAAATAATCGCCACGGGTAATAACATAAAAGCTATTTACTATTCAGATCAACCCTTTGTTAAAGGACGAGGATGATTGAGAAGAGGCAATCGGTCTGCCCTGTTTTTTTTTTTTTTTTTTTTTTTTTTTGTTGCTTGTTTATATGAAATCTGACGCCAGCTTTCGACCTTCGAAAAAACTAACAGAAAAATAAAAAAAACTAGAAATAATACGGTCATGATTTCAGTTATGGAAAATTAGGTCTTTAATAATAAAAAAGGCTAAATAACATAAGAACTTACTGGCATTTCAGAATGTCATCAGAGCAAAGAATCCTCAACAAAGGACGTATCAGTTCAGCCTGCACAAAAATCTTCATTAACGGCCTCGCAATTGTCAGTATATCCACCTAAAATGTAAAACACAAAACCTAAAAATGATAAAAAGTGGATCATTGAAATATATAATTAAATTTATTTATTATCTCCATAGCTACTCCCAGACCTTTCATTATTCCTTAATTGCTCTTACCGATGGTAAATATTCGAGAATCCCAGCTGGTGATGCGCAAAATGGTTGTAAAGTCAGTGACTTGACAAGATTCATCTGTAACGGTTTATAGAACTCGACAGGTAGCACATGTTCCGCAGTATAAAAAAGTCGCAATCGCAGTTCACCAAGCTGCTGATAACCGTTTAACGGATTCTGACTCTCAGTGACCAAAACGTCGCTTGCGCCACCATTATTAATCCCATCATCATTCTCATCACCAGTCATTCGTGGTTTCAGATAATACCTATAAAAAAGGAAGATCAGAACGAAGAATATTAATAGAATAAAGGTCGTTTCGTTCCGGACAAGAAATGAACCAAAAAACAAACTTTCTTTTCTGTTAAAGTTTCACTTTAAATTTGTGATAGAAAATATAGAAACCGTTAAGAATCAATTCTGTTTCAAACGATCAAAAATATTGCCTTTTAATATAGAATAATAAAATTGCTCTTTACAGTCTCAATTTATATTCAGTTCCTTCATTATTCATTAAACAGGTCATCATAACACATTAATGCCACGAACAAGTAAATAAATATATCTGAGCATCACTAAGATCCTATAAAACTCATAAATCACTTCATTCTATGATTCTGAATCGACTACGAAGACATGGAAGGGACGTCTGATATGAAAATCAAATTGTACTGCAAATGTACCCATTTCATCAAAGTTTCCTAGATGACATTTGTAATATTTTTGATTGGTATTTAATTTAAGCACATTTAGTCAGCTTCGAAAAGCAAAACAACCAAAGTTTTGCTTTCATGAAAACAATTAATCGATTAGAAAAAATCAACTAAAAATCTGTTTCTAAAAAGTTCAAATGAATGAAATAAATGATTAAAAAACAAGTCCATCTACGATTAATAGATCCCTGTTATGACAGGTCGTATCTCATTAATGAACTTCCGTCTGTTAGGTACGATGTTAAGTACTGTTAGATACGTTAGGTACGAGGAAATGAATGGGACAAACTGAATTGAATAAAAATATAGTAAAATAAGAAAAAAACACATCTTCACTTCATGAGCCAAATGAATGGAAATAGGAAAGTCTAGAAAAATTTCACTCTGGAAAGCTGGAAGAATGGTTTTGCTTTTTGTTTCAAACGCTTGTGCATTGTCAACTATTGATGTCAACCATGCAAAAGAAAACGTACTTCCTGGTGTCATATACTTTTAGTTATTTAACAATCATTTCAAACATAGAAACAAGTCAATATTGATAATGAGGACGGTTCATAAAATAATGAAAAATTACTGTTGTTGACAGTTACGAGCTTTATGAAGACGGAATTTAAAAAAGATGCCACCGAGAGAAAGAAAATTAGATGGTGGTTCATTCATCCATACAATCAATCATCCGGAAACACGGAATGTTAGTGACAATTAGACAATCATATCTGCTCATATTAATACGTAGTTGCCAGTTGTCAAAACAGAATGCACAATGATGAAGAAATTCCAGCAGAAATAACTGAAAGATAATTCTAAAGCGACTTGAGAAATACGCTACAATTCCTTATTAACATGTGTTTAGTATAAAAGAGTTGCAGAAATCGGAAACGATGAATGCAGGGTTTCAATTCCGATGAGGAAAAAGAAAGAATGGGAATGGACGGATTTCAGAATCACTGTTTTACAAAATTTTGTCCAACAAGGATAAAAGCAGCTTTTATTTAAAAGCATTAAAAAAGAGCAGAAAAAAGTTAACGAGTTCAAAATACATTTGGCATTCTGAAAATAATTCTTCAAAACTCAAAAACCAATTCAATTCACTTTTCACGCGCATTTTTTTATTTGAATAAAAAGGAAAAACTTGAAACTGTAAAAGCAAATAATTTAAACAGTAACTGAAAACTATGAGACAATCACTATACATAATCATCTTTGGAGTGCGTTTTGCTTCAGAAAAAGTAGCTGTGAATTTAAATGTCAAAATTTACCAAAAAAATTTTTAAAATGGTAAATTTTCTGTTCATTCCATTTTCGTTTAATTAGCATTTGCAATTTATAGTATAATGTTTAGTAATTTTCGACAGTTGAATATAAGGAGTGCTAAATCAATATTTCAAGAATGAACTTTTAGGGAAAAATAAAGGCAAAAGTCTGGGTTACGACAGCACTGTAAGACTCAACAAAATTTCTACAAATGTTTATTTATTTCAATTACTGAAGAATCCTAGAATGCTAGCATTTCAATCGTATTTTGTAGCAGTATAATCAGAAAACAGAAATCACTTGTGAAGTTAAAAGATATGGGTTGACATTATATATATATATATATATAAGCTGTCTCTATTCTGATACTAATATTGTTATAGAGTGGCAGACTGGATAAATTAGAAATAAATAAGCTTTTGCATTAAAATTGATCAAGAGATCTTGATATAAGATCATCCACAATACAAAGAGTTATCAGCTTGCGGAATTCTATTGGTTCTTTCTTTCTTTTTCATCTGCCCCTCTCTTTCTTTCTACTGACTCTCTCAAAGTTCAGAACTAAAATGTTGAATTATTACAGGGAATGAAAGAAGCAGCAACTACTACTAGTAATGTATCAAACAGAAGGAAAATTGTAAAGTTTCGCAAGCATCAACAACTATCGCACGGTGAGGAAGTGGTGGGCGATTGCTAAAGATGTGTAATATAAAGCGCCTAGTTTATTGCCACCTTTCTGTGAATGTGAATTTTAAACGATGACGTTATAAAACTATAAATTATTGAAGATATGAACATTTGTATGTATTTGGAAAATTCTCCACAAGTGGAACTTTTCGAATTATGAGCTCTCTTTCCAAAGAAAATTCAGAGCAAGTACTGGTTGAAATACTACTGTACATCAATGAAAAATTAAGGTTGCACGAAATACTAAAATTTGTAAAAAAACTCAAAAATATGCTTATGAAATCGCTTATGACTAGAATGTAATAAAATAAAATATAACAATTAAAAGCTAGTTCAACAAATTCTTCTGTCCTGAACCTACTGTATTTCTTGTTGAGGCTGACCAAGGTGAAATATATATATCTGCGTAGTTTTTTTTTTTTTTTTTTTTTTTTTTTTTTGAAAATTACAGCTGTGACTGCCGCTAACTTTAGCTATATTTATATCTGCAAAGTTACCCCACTATACACTAGCTTTTGAGGCAAAACTTACGACAATGATTTTACAAAAATATTCACAATAAATAAATTAAATTCTTGTATAGTTCAGTATAGAGTTGGTATGACTAGATAACTTTCTGTCTTGCAAAATTTTTATTTGAAAACTTTCTAGACAACAGCAAGCATTGGTATTTTAGCTAATGATTAATTTTTCTATGAAGTAATAGTTCTTGTCTAATATTAAGACCGTTTGTACTAAAATGGATTTTTATTAAGTAGGAAACGGTGCAAACGAACCACTGAGGGCCAATGAATTCTTTTTCGACGATTTCATCGTCAAGGGTGATGCGTATTTGTCCTTGAAAATAACTGTTGAAACCTGGTAAAACATCGTGCCAAAGTGACATTCGCAACTGTACTTTTTGTGTCCTTTGATTGTCATCGAGGATCGTTCCATCGCATTCCATGAACAATGTTTCGGCGCTTTCCTGTTCAGGAAAAAAATGATTTTATAAGCAAACTCATTTTATCTCGTCGCATATTTCAACCGCTAAACTTTTTCTCTTCCAAGGAACATATTTTGAATTAAAAAAGAATTTGTTCTCTTTGATTAAATTCGATTTAAGTTCATTAAAACATTGAATGCTCCAGATCAATCATGTAAAATTTAAGAACCAAATCAAATGCTTATTCAGCAAATTTGTCGACAAAAATTCTAAGCTAATGAATTCAATGTTTCAACTTATATATATATATATATATATAACTCCAATTCATGAACTTTTCACGGGTTATTCAAATATTTTAACAGACAACAAAAACTTACTCGATTGATGCCAATACTCAACTTCTTGGATTGCACAACTCGCGTTGCCACTTGCAATGTTACCAGTAAATACAGATCCGCTGGTTCGCGTATATTTAATCCCGTGTAGTCTACAACTCTGCAGAAAAAGGAGACGATAAATCGTGGAACAATTTGCTTTGCAAATCAGTGAATATTACCAATGAATATGAATTAATACAAGATTAATCCAAAAATAGTACAAAGATAGAAATTTTGTCACTAAAGTCTGAGCAGTCAAAAATGATTCGGTTCAACCGATTTTTTTAGTGGCTACTTATCAGATGAATGCTTCAGGGAGAGAGAAGAGAAAAAGATAAAAAATTTTTAAACATTTGAAAGTTATATTACAACGCTGTGGAATGCAAAATCTGTATTGTCCATTTTCCATCAAAGGGCGGTAGTGGCAAGCTAATAATGACGGGTATAGCCACCCAAATAATTGCATCTTAACAGCACTTCAAACAAAACATTTTACCTATATTACCTAATTATGTATTATAAAAAGAAGCCCAAAAAAAAAAGGAAAACAATTTGTAAATGAGTGAGAAATACAAAAAGACAAAAAGAAGAGTCAAAAAGAGCAAATATGGGAAAAAGTAAGTGATAAATGTAATTGTTCAAGAAATATATGCTTCGATTTTTTCAAGAAATTATTTCCTCTTCGTGGCTATCCTACCATAAATAGGTCAAAATATGAAAGAGAAATACTGAAAAAATATTGGCACAACCGACAAGAATTAGGATTTTTTAAATGAATAAATTTTGCTAACAACCTCAGTTAATACCATACTTTTATTCAATAGATCATACCTATGATGTAATGAATAAAATGATATAACAAAGATATCTAAGGAAGCTCGATTCTATTAGCTAGGTCTGGTAATGTATCACGAAACAACTACAACTTAAGATTTCTTCATCGCAAGGTTGAGTATTTTATGTATACTCTCATTAGTAGCAAAAATGCACAAAACTAAAAGCCATCAATAATTGTGTTAAATGTTCTGGCTACCTATATCTTAAAAATCTTATTATAATTATTCTATAAAAAGCGGATCGAATTTACATAAACATCGTGCAGGTCAAAAATCTTTAACTTCCGCTAATTATTAGTGACAATAATTAGGTAGAGAAAACACGAAATTATTGCGCACTTTAAAAAAGCTGTTTTCTATCCTCAACAAAAGCAAAAAATATTTGATGAAGATTTGCTTCGACCAGTAAAAGCTAAACAAAGGAAAGCAGGAATCAATCGTACATATTATGCATATTCTTGTAAACTTTTGTTGACAGTTTGGGATTACAACTTATGTCATCTTGTTTACTTGTAGACAAGAAGTCAAGTATTAGGTGACAATGATTAGCACCAGTTGTTAATTATGAATTGACGCGTATTTCATTTAAAACATCATCTGTAAACTTTAAAAAATTTTCACAGCGTTGGCGTCCAGCTGTTCACAAAAAGATCAGGAAAAAGCTTTGAAGTTCAACAGTTGAAATTTAAAAACAAATGAAGAAGTTTGCAAGTTTTTGTAGAACAAAAACTCAATCGCTAAATAGCATTTTCTAATATAAACTGAAATTTTCAAATCTTTGTATTCAAAAATTAAGAAATAAGGGGAAACAAAGAAAAAATATTAAATCGTTACAACGTAAAAAATGTTCATAACAGATAATGTTGAAAGTGTTAAGGATTGCATAACATTAACACATATTTGAGGTCGAAATCAGTATACATACTTTAGTTGGGATTAAGTCTTTCCATAAAAAAAGCCCGAAATAATAAAAGTATTAAAATGTGAGCCGGTATATGTATTTTAGAATAAACGAGCCTTCTGTCCAGAGTTGGATATTCAAACAGTTATAAAATATTAAAAAGTTGAAGAAAGGACAGGAAGATCAACGGGAGATAATCGCGTAATGTAAAGGAATTAGAAAGGAAACATCATTCTTTCATCGCCTTATTTTAATTAGCTTTTTTAAATTTTTAACTAGGCATGATAAAGATAGTCAGTGATTAAAATGAAATTTATAGCTTCTCGGGTTTCCATGCATTTATGCAGATTTTTTCAAATGGCTATGAAACGCAAGATGTAAGAGGGATTTCAATGAAAGAGAGGAAGAAAGAAAAGGAGAAGGAAAGTTTGCATCCCACAAAAAAATGCTTAAACCTTAAGAATTAAAGGGAAGAGCCAGTCAATTAATTGAAATTAGAGGAATTAGTTAAAAGAATAAACCTATCATTTTGTCTTTGAATTTCCATTGTCTCAAAAATCACCAGATATTTCATTTGCGTCAAACAATGCTCTCTACGCACATTTCTGATATGACGCACAAACAGATCGAATTATGAAATTAAGAGTGTTTGAAAAACTTTATTTGATACTTTCATTCAATTTAATTCAAATGTCTTTAAACATTAATTTATATACCATCAATGTCTCGTCGATCGGATGCTTGAATAAAGATAAAATGCGAACGCGAATCCATTTCATTGTTCGAACATATATCACTGCTGATAGAGACTAATTACGTTAAAGTTAGCACTTAAATTAAGCATAATTTTTGCAAATGTTAGATGTATTGGAGTAAAATAAATTTAATCGTAGATTATAAAAGGTATAAAATCATAGTTTCACTGGTTAGTCCATAAATTTATTAATGAGAATCAATTCAAAACTTTTGTCATTTAAAGTGTAATTGGACGGGGATTCAAATACTGATATTTGTAGTTTTGGATTTCAAATTATTGCGAAAAATTCAGAAATCGAATAATGATGTATATGTACACTGAAATTATATCATAATGGAAAAGAATTATTTGATGGCTAAAATTCTTTTCCACTCTTTACGCTTGGATGTGTAATTTCCTTCGCCCACTTTCATCAATAATCACGATGTGAGTCGTAAAAGCCACCGGAAGCTTGATAATTCGCCGAAAGCAAATAGGAAGGAGGGAAATGATCCCGCAAAACGCTCTCTTCTTTCCTTTCTTTAAATGCAGCTGTCGCTAACTAATGGTCTAGTCTAGCTTTTATGCAATCAAACATCGAATTACTTATCGAGCACAGAGAAACTGGCAATCCTTCTCCAATTCATTTACTAATTCCGTTCCTTTCATTAATCACAGTTTTTTTCAAATGTAAGCAGCGAAGATGAAGAGAAAGGGAAAGGAAAAGAATTAAAATGAGGAAAAAGCTAAGGGTTAAATCTGAATTAAGATGGTGCTCTGATAATGTTGACGACGAAAGTTTCTAGAATTCCTTTAAGAGGTACTCTAACTCTTACTCAAGACTTTGATAGGCTAAGAGAATGTATTGAAAATAATGAAATTATTTCACTGTATATATCGTTCTTGTACATTCCCGTTAGGTTCCGTTACTTCTCATTAGATTCTGTTTATTCCTAGTTCATATATCACAACCAAAAGAAAAAAGTCTCAAAACATGAACCAGTTTTTTTTTTTGAATGGATGCTATTATGATAACCGTATTATTAGTGATAATATTTGATAACGGTCATTGTTTACTGACCAATCAGTGCAAATAGAATTATAAATTGATCGACATGCCATGTTTTCATTCCAAAGTTTAGAGTACTTTTTAATTATTAGTAGCACTAACACGAAGGAAGGGAAACTCTCTGTTGATAAAGTTTCGGAAAAGTTTATTGGTACTACTTAATAGCAAAATTTTTATGAAATACCAAATATTTTAAAGACTACCACTTAATAGCAAAATTTATGAAATACCAAATATTTACTAGTATTAAAAATGCTTACTTTATAGCGAGGCATTTTCTGCTTGGTTCGCAACGTACATCTATGCAAATTTGTCCGGAAACATCATTTTGTCTGGTAATGGCTTGTATTCGATACCAGCGATCTTCACCGGAATGTTTGACAATATCACGTTTTCGTATGCTTACTAAACCAATCTGTCGTGGTAAACGATTGCTCACATTTTCGGTGATTAAAAAGTGCAGCTGCGAAAAGGTATTCGAAATTTCGTGAACAAAATCATCGCCAAAACAGCATCTGTAATAAATTCAGGAATTATTCAGTAAATCTGAACAGAAAATTTTATAACTTCTTCCTTAAATATTACGCATTGAAAAATCAAAAAGGTCGTTCTTCTTTCTTATATGTCAAAATCTTTATTCGGTATATAAATTTTTTAAAAAAGAATAATATATATAAAAAAGAAGCGCTCAGAAGGAATGCTTTTGTTTTTTTCCAAAATGAACGTCATTTTCCGCAAGTAATACTATCAACATGAATCGATTCAAAAACGTATATGATACAAATCACTGAATTTAAAGTTCGGAAAAAATTTACATGCGGACACATAAATTAAAAATTTTAAGTGAGAGGAATAGTGGGACGTGTTGCTTTAATGATGCAATTTAGGCTTGAGAATGATGTAGTGGTCTTTTTCGAGTGAGCAATATCGATGTTTGCTGTGTAAGAATGACGTGGATTTTCAAATTAAAAAGTGGAGTATATAAGATCAGCTCAAGAAGACAAAAAGAACTTTTCCAGACCACAAATAACTAATTCCCATAACCTATTGAAAATAGCAAGTCATTTTTGCAATGTCAAAACAATGAATCTAAATAAATATTTAAGTAAAACTGAATTAAATTTTCCATGGGTACAAGTTTTAGAAAAGACTGCTTGCTGATCAATCCAGATATTAATACAGACGAAATTATCAACTGAAGCCTTTGATTTTGCAAAGGAAAATTTAGAAGACAACTAAGCAAAAAATCAAAATCATACGTTTTGTTGAATCCACATTCTATAGATTTCAGAATAAAAAGATGGAAATTTTCGATTTTCTAATGATATGATAGATTTTACTGACCCTTTACTCCTAAGCTACTAATGTAATGGAATTTAAACAAAAACTATTGAAATGTTAAATGACGTCCAGCATCTTTTAAGCTACGCTATATATTTTTCCCAAAAATGAAAACAAATTTATGATATGAGTGAAAAAACAGGAAATCTAAAAAAGGCCGCTCATTGTAATGAGATTGTAATTAAGGTTTGAGACTACTTCCATTTCCATCAGAAATCATTGATGTTTTAATCATGAGTAATAAAAGATTCTGTTCTGACTGAATTAATTCTCGAATCCCAAGCATTTCCTTCACCAATCATTAATGGAATAAACCTAGTTAGAAAGTAAATTTTTTGAGGTCGATTTATTAAAACCATACTAGTGTGTGTCACTAGCTAGTAAAGCTCAAATAATTTCATAAAATGAATAACATTACATATTTCCATTAGCGGTTGATGTTGACTGAAAAATATTGACAGTGTCCAATCTTGCTAGCACAGTTATTGGTCGAATATGATCGTTGTTATCTGTAGGACTGCTACTAGTGCCATTACTGTGAATACTTCGAGTAGGTAAGTTTCGGAGTTGAGCGATATTGACACGTAATACTTCAATAAGCCTCAAATATCCATCACAAAGTATCCGTCCGGAACGATGATGATAGTAAGTGGAAGTACCACTAGCACTTGTACTGGTCACCATTTTACCGCCATTTTCAGCAAGCGATAATGTCGGTGATGATGATGATGCCGCGCAGTTAGCTTCAGGAACCATTGATGTTGATGATAATGTCGACGAGGATGACGGAAGCACTAATGGCGAAACTGGTGCTATCGAGGATGATGACAGTGTCGAGGTTGCAGAGGACGGGGCGAATGTCGACGCTCTGGCTACGGAATGTCCTCGCCCACTTAATTCACATTTGCTCATTACATAACAAGTACTACCTGCAAATTAATTAGTAAATAAGCAACTACCAATGATAAAATGAAACTCCAAAGAGACGACTCGAGTTTTACAGTTCTTTATTAAAGCATCGTTCCGCAATGTTATGAAGTGCAACAGGAAACTTACTGCATCAACACAGCAAATTATGTTCACTGGTTGCTTCTGACCACTGCTCCTAGCATACTAGAACAAAATACTTAGCATCCTTAATGAAGTTAAAAGCTAAAGTTCTTATATAATTAAGTAATTTATGTGAAGCAAAAGCAATTTTTTGATATGGACAAACATACTTATGAATTACAAAAACATCATGTTTTTTGAAGTCATAAATGCGTAACAGATTAATTGAGATATTCCAATTTTCATATCTGCAGATATAACTATGATATAATATCGGCTCGTAAACCGAAGTAAACCGAGCAACCTGAATTCCTGAGCAATAGTGGACAGCTTCAATCAAAGCTAGTAAGCAGGTATCAGTGGATTAAATGATTTGGAAGAAGTCCATATACTTCACAGAATCAGAACTTAGTTTTTACAAGTTTCTTATATTCTAGAGTTCCAAATGAAATTGGTATTCTCCTACCGATTCGATTAAATAAGAAATACGAAACGAAACCTACGAAAAGATATACAAAAACTGATATATGGAAAATTGGAAATGATACAAAGAAATTGAATAGAATCGATGGAAGAACAAAAAATAGCCAAAAAAAAATCTATTTTTTCGAATTCTCTACGATCAAAAAAGGGAATTTCATTACACTTTCTCGACTGGAACATTAATGGAACACAGTGACCATACAAGAATAGAATTATGTTCGTTTGGTTGAAACTCATGCACGGTATTAAATTGGTCAGCAGAAATTTGCATATAAAGAGTAAATTGAATTTCAAAGTGTAAATTCAATAAAACAACATCTAATCTCGATAAAATTAGAAAAAGTTTAATTCTCAACTTTCATGTGATTAATTTTCAAAGTTATTACTTCTTTACACCAATTTCGTTTTCGTGTAGGGGAAAAGACCTTTATTAAAATAGTAAAAATACAAAATGAAAGAAGAAGATAAAAAATCTTCGGTAAGCAGCAGGTGAAAGTGAAATTCACTGTGAACTCATTCAATTAATATTATTCCAGTGAAATAAAAAGTTGAAAATTTTATAAATTCATCAAATTCTTTACTTTTCAATAGAAAGTACAATAAGTATTCATTTACTTGTAAAAATTAGCAAAACTTTTGAAATAAAAAGCAGTTCGTGTATTATTTAGTTAATTGTTGGACTCAATTTATAAAAGAAATAGATAAATGAGTTAGATGTTGAAAATAACAGGATAGTTTAATAAATTTAGCTTTGATTTTTATTCCCTTTCCCTTATCGTTCGGTGATGGCTTCTATGGATTTATCATTACACCACGGCTACCAAAAAATTAGATATTATAGATTTCGAGCTTTCAGGAGTTAATGATCGCTTCCAAGAATTTCTAAAGAACTGAGTTTTTTCGGTAATAGAATTGAATCTTAAATGCTGTGATATTCCATATAGAAGATTAAAATCCTAAGAGAAGCTCTTAGAAGGTGAAAATCAGCCTAGACTTATAAAGAATTATTTCAAAACGTCACGTGAAACTGAAACAACAGATGAGATTAACTAAACAAGTAGAAAACAACAACACTTCATTTCAATAGCACAATTAAGGGAAACTAATTCAACAGTTGGTCATTCTTAGCACAGTTAAACAATGTTTGGTTAAAGAGTTTGGCGAATTAATCTGTCAACTTGGTTAATTAATAGGTGAATTAGATTTTAGTTAATAATTCAGTTAATATGGGCTGGTTGTTCAGAGGTTAGAGCACTTCCATCAAAAATGTTTTCTTATTTCTTTGAGCGAAAAGAAACCGGAAATTCGCGGGTTGCTGATATTATCGTAATGAAGGTGATATTGGTTTGATGATGGCGATGATGATGTTGTCATTAAAGTTGATCGATGGGTTTCCACTGGCTTTGGGTTGTTTTCGAGGAGTTGATTCACCTTGCTCGTTTGACGATGGCACCCATTCGTTGCTATAGAGGCTTGATTTGTTGTGGTGAATGAAAAGGTATCGATTCGACTACAATTTTAACCATTTCGAAAAGGTTATTGGCAATCGTTACGCGCTGTTTGTCTCACTCATCACTTCTTCATTCCTTTCGTGATTTCTTCCTAAATCGCCGCTACTCCTACCGTAAAAGGCCTGGTACCTTTCCTTGATTGCCATCTAGAACACAGTGGTAGGATGGGTGTTCTTCACAAATACAACATTCTAATAAAATAAGATTGCTTTATTTAATGGAACAGGAGAAAAGTGATCTCTGCTTTGGGGAAAACCTGTTTGTATGGGTGGGCCCGAATTCCGATATTTATCGACCAGTAGGTTAGTACTGTATTCATGCAGTATAACACCGGTATTACAACATAAACTACCGATTACAGTAAATAACTATACTAACTGTCTTAAATTTGTGAATTATTCAAAATTAGTTTGTATAAGTGAAAAAATCAGCAATGAGAGAGAAGCGATGCAGGTTCTCTTGGTTTGCTGTACTACCAATTAGTCCATGTGGTCGTGACTCGTGTATATTCTGCAGTTACGCATAAACGAATATAAATATGAATGTTTATTTCTTCGGAATCTAGTCAGTATTGTTCCGTTATTTCTCAGACATATCCTGTATTCAGCATTCTTCAAAACAGGTACCGGCATAATTACATATTTATTTGCAAACTGAAATATTTGTTTGTACATTAAATGTTCCACTTCTTTAATTAATAAGACGACTGGTGAATTTTGGAAGAGAATGAAACGAATCATATAAGAAAAGACAAGTAATTGAAGCGTCAATAAAACAGTCTTGCCGTGGGTAGAGATAAGGAAGCTGATAATGATGATAGCGACTTCAATGATGAAATCGTGGACAGTGTTGATCATCGAGGAATGAAAATATTTGTCGCAATAATAATAACAGTGATGATTCAGGTTATGATGATGCTGATAATGATGACAGCTGATGAGAATGATAATGGCGATGGTCGCCAGGAATGCAGATGGGAGAACAATTTAATAACCACTAAAAATTTGTATGCAGAAAAATATACCTAAGAAAACTATGTATTAATGGAGATATCTATAAGTAAAGAAAAGGAATAGATAAGAATGAAGAATCTGTGCTTTTAAGTAGGTTTGACTGATGACTGCTTGAAATAATATACTGTCGTAGGGATTACTAGAAATAATTAGATTGTTCTTTTTATGTTGTGACGTAATTGCAGGGATGGTATGCTGTGCAACGATTCTTCGGTAGATGATAAGAAATGTGGCATCATATCCATGTATCGATCGGTGACTATTACACTTCAACTCAGTTGAAAACGAACCTTAAAAGAACGAAGCAACAAATATCCGAGTGTCGGTTCATTACTAAAATAGTTAAAAAGAAATGAAACTTATTACAAACTGGTACATAGTGAAATATTGAAAAGAAAAGAATCTGAAATAATGCAAAGGAGAAGAACAAATACTAAGTTTAATTGGAATTCCCAGTACTGTGATAAACAATGCTGTTTACAAATCTGATTTCTGACTTCTTTGCTTCTAACATTGATTACTAGCGGATGAGAGGAAGAATGAATGTCCTAAAATAATCACATCGATTCTATTTGCATTTGACAAGTGATCACGTCACGACGTCACGCCCGTGAATCATAGTAAACATAGTAACGAAAGCGAAGATTTCATTTTAATGAATAGTAGGAGTAGCAGTAAGAGGAAAGGGTTAGCAGGGACGGTGCGGTTGTAGCTAGAGTGGGAGTGCATCACCTTCTGAAGCACTTAACAATTTATCACTCCCATTACTGCATTCTCACTTCCTCTGTGCCATACACTTTCCTGGTACATTTCTAATTGCTTTTCTTCGAGGTATAATTAATTATCCGTTAAGGTGATTCCAATAATTCATCTCGAGGTAAAAATTTTTTATTGAAGTTTGATTCTATTAGAAATTACTATAATGAAGGTATAAAATAAGCTGAAATACTTATTTTATAATTTCCAACACTACAACACTGACGTTGAGACCAAGTGCGTTTCTTTAACCCACTCCCAGATACAGTATTACTGTGGTGAAGCGTGAACTACCTTATAATAAAGTTAAGAATTACGCATCGCTGAAAGAAAAAAGTGAATAATGAATAGAAAACTTATAGAGGTGTACCTAGAAAAAATGCCGGTGATATTTTCTCCAGATACGTCAAATATTCTCTTTCTAGATTATCTCAGTGAAAACACAAATTTAGGTTGGGAAGTATGAACTTAATCATTTGAAGCAAAATCTCCAGAAGGCTACACTTTGAAAGCGGTTATACGGGCACGGTTTTTATACATTATTGGCAAAGGCAATCGATTCGAGAATGTCATTATAAGATTGTTATGAAAAACTAACAATAATAGAAGTTATGGGAAATTGTTCCATTCCGAAGTTATTTGTGTTATGCGGATGTGCACTTTCCGTTATGAAAGTGTGATTTTATTGGCATGCCACTTTAGAAAATCATGAACAACCAATATCCAATATGCAGTGTTCTCCGGAAAAGTATCATGGACATATATGATCACGCTTATTACGTAGCCGGTGATATGCAGATTCCCGGATACAAATAATGCAATTATACTCATGAACATATCTAACAAATTGAATTTAGTGGGCGATGTACAAACTGTGGAAAGGTAAACATAAAATAGTGGATAGTAGATCTAGTTCTAATGGTAGGACTCGGAGAAAACTGGAACCGATAAGGGAGGAAGAGAGAGCATCTTAATATAATCAGTGTCGCGAAACTGCGGAACAGCGAACACCTGATTTGCTATTGGTACAGTTCTATCAGTTGCGGTAAGGATGCTATGATGCGACATGCTTATGCCTCCTGGTGTTGCTACTGGTAGTGGAGAGAAATCGGAGACGGTAGCGTGCAGTGCTGTTATCCGGAGTGCCTCGTGAACGATCCTGCAACTATGACTGCATGCAAAACAGGAAAAGGAAGAGCAGCCGTCGGCTGGTTGATTTGTTGGTGCAGGTTGAAACAGCATCAGTCAGACAGGAAGGAAGTGGGAGGAACCGTGGACACATGTTTGGATGAACAGGGGGCACTTCCGGTCGGTCCTTCAGCTCTTCTCTAATAGTTGTGCTGAAAAGTTTCGCGATGACGTTTAACACTGCTGCAGTGTGCAGTTCAACTGCGGTAGTCATACGCTCGCTCATTCTTTCTCTGAACAAAAGATTTAGAAGCATATCTACCACCTGCAGTGTGAGCATCTTAGCAATTCCATCAGCAATATTGCGTACGGAGGATTTCTTTTCTATACGTTCCTAATGAAAACCTGCTGCTGTTATCGGTGAAAAAGTACAGTGAAGATTATACTTCAGGAAATAAAGAGACTATGATTGGTGGCTGTTGGAAGAGAAACAAAATGTTAGTTGAAGTATGCTGAACATAGGTTGAAAAACGAATGTAGAGAACAATTTGATTGCAGATCTTTGGAATATCTTGTCTTATCTCGAGATGTCAAAGGTCGTTTGAGAACTTGCATTCCTTGAAACTATTAGTGGCACTAATTGAATGATCATTGCTAAATGTAGCAATAGTTGAAAATTCTTCTATATTTACATGCATAAAGATTTCAACGATGGAAAACATTTTTCAGCTATAATAAGCTAACTGAGTTTAGGAAAAACAGGCCTTATCAGATTCTTCCATTCCATCTTATCTAATTCAAGGTAAAGTGATAAGACCAAGCTGAACAGTAATAAAAATGGCTTTTACGCCAAAACTTTACGGGAAAACTAATAATGTAAATGGCCAAGTTTGTATGACGAGGAGATCCGAAGCAAAAGTCCCAGCACTATTCGTAACGGTTATCACATTGCTTGATACGTCTACATTACCTAGAAGTCTTCTTGAATTACTTAACTCTAATTTCTATATGACGACGTTTCAATCTGAAACTTACGAAATTAAGCAGTTAAAAAGTAAATATTGAAATAATTGAAATTATTATATCTCATTTACTTATTTTTTCGTGATTTGCACCCATCTCAGCATACTCTCATTTAGAACAAAAGATGCAGTGGAATCGAACAGTATAAAAAAGCATGAGAGTATGCTGCCAAGAGTAGAAGAAAAGTCGACGAGATTGGCGGAAATTTCAGTTCTTTCAAAAAACATCTCTGGCTTAATCTTGTTCTACACAGGTAGGTATATACATACATACATGATGCATATATACGTATGTGTGCGCATGTAGTCAACTGTATGTATGTATGTATGCCATCCCGTGTCGATAGTGAGAATGAGGAGAAATGTATGGAATGTGAGGTAATAACAATTAATAAGAGCGGAAAGTGGAAATGAAAACACACACCTTACTTACGTAGATACATATATATATAAATACATGCAAGAAGTGTCTATTCCTTAGCAAAGTTTTGAATATAAAAGAATCTTCAGGTGGGGTGACAATAATAAAAACTGTACACTTATAGTAGTTATAGAGGTAACACCGATGGAGAAGCAGAGTGGCTGATTAGTGTTAGAATAAATTATCGAAAACTATCGAGAAGAATTCTTTTTAGTTTTCATTTAGTAAAATGAATTTGGTAAAGACAAGGAAGCGAGAAACTTGAATACTTAATTCACTTAATTAATCACTCCTTATGAATCACAGTTGTTTAGAGGTTGCATTCGTCCTATTTAATTTTTTCGCTTCTCTTCACGTGATTTCGTTATTATTTAATTTGTAATGAATTTAATTCATTAATTGAGGAACCTTGGGTCATCTTACTTCTTCCCCTTTCCTGATCATTCTTCCAGTCCACTTCTACCTACTCGCTAATATTTTTAGCCGTTTTGCAGAGCAGTGTCCTGCATATTACAATGAGAAATAAATAGGTGAATGATTTGGATCGATATAAGGAAGTACAATGAGTATGAGAGTAATCAGATTAAAGGAATAAAGTAGAATTCCAGAGGAAAGTTCAAAAATAACTTGTAGTAACCGGTGACAAAAAAATCAAATCAAGAATGTGAACCAATCTACGGTTTTGGAGACACGTCGTTCATCATTCATATCCAGAATATTTGATACTACATTTTACAGCTTTTCCTTCCTAATGTTTTTTTCAATACTTTTTCCATTTCATTTTTCAACCTATAAACAATTTCAGTCGAGTTTAGGGTCAACAATCACTAGACTCAGTGCAAGGAGTAATCGATCATGAGAGTTCGATACTAAATGAAAGGTATCGTTTACATATGCGTTTAACGTGAAGATCGCATTACATGTTTTTGACCAAAACAATGAATAAATGCATAGCAGTCTTTCAAACAAAGGATAACGAATACATTCTGTCATATTTGCCCAATTTTTAAATAGCTATTTCGAGTCTCTTTCATTTCCTCAAACAAACAGAACTCAGTTTGGCGAGTTCTTGGATTTAAAATTTAAATTTAGTTGTCATGCGCAAGTGTTCTTATTGGTAAATTTTGAAAAGAGACAGGCATCTAATGCTTGTCCTTGTTAAGAACTCTGTTTTTCAGATTTACATACTTTCGGATTCCTATTGCTTTCCTTTACTGTATTCCATTGCTGCAGTAATTGTATGATTGTATAGAAATGGATTTTTCAGTTAAAGATTAGCGAAAGAGTGATGTGATATCATTCTGCATAGGGTACAAGTAAACTGAGGCATGATATAAGACGGTAGAGATTAATGAACGATCACTGAATGTCGTACAAGCCTCAGATCAGTGCAAAGTTGTTGGAGTTAGAGGATTGTTAGGCCGAATGAAAAATTATTCTGATATGAAGTTAACTATTAGATTAGATGGCGTATATAATATCAAGTTCCGATTTTTAGGCGTAAACATGTATCAGTAATTTCTATTCTTTCTGAAACATGTACTGTTGTGTCAATATCCGTTCGTTATAACTATTGAATAGTGATAAAGCATCACCAAAAATGCTATATAATTGATCCGTTATATTTACTACAACTTTAGTTTCCATTAGAATTATCGATTATATTCAATGTAAAAATATTGTTAAATATTTGCTTCGAAATTTGTATCACCGAATTAATAACAGTAAATAAGCAGCGATGAAGAGCAGCCGCAAGATATATAAAAACCATATTTCTTAAGAGATCTAATTAATTAAACAAATGTTTTAGTGAACAGATTTGGAAAGGTTAAGGAGATTTGTTTGATACTACTAATGGATAGTGTGTCATAAAATACGTTGTGTTTGCAATTACCATTGCAGTTTTTTTTTTTCTGAGTTCGAAATCGAATTTTGTATTAAGAAATATGAATAATTCCAATTCAAAATAGTTCAAATTTCGGCTGGGATAACTTAAATTTAAAAAAGTTTTTTCACTTATTTGCAAGTCTTTTATATGAAATTTTATCCAAGCAAATTGAAATATGGTCCAGTTGATTTATATCACAACTCATTTCAGATTATTGAGATAAAATAAATACTCTAACATCTTATTCTTTCATTCGGCATTTTGATAAAATTTTTAATTGTAGATTTAAAAAATTTTAATTATTCTCAGGTTTTGGTTTCGATTTTTTTATAAACAAAAAAAAAAATCCGAAAATATTCCAAATTTTTAATGTGGGAAAAAACAAATGCCTTCAATTATAAAAATTTTCAATTGAGAATTTCTGAATGCTTGAAGAAAATGTTTATCACTGTTAGTTTCTTTAAAGCCAAAATGTTAATCACGAAACAGGTGCAAAAGACATTCTTTTTAAAAAGCTTAAAGTTAAGTTTTTTAAAGAATTAATTTTCATCTGCGACTCTCACTGTCCATGTTTTATTCATTTCTCGGAAATGATCGGGATGGAGTAAGAAACACCTGCAGAAGTTATTTGGATGAACAGATATTTCTTTAAAATCACTTCTATCCAAGCATTTTGATTTGGTTACTTCACTGAAATATAATTTTTTCGAAATAGCTTTCACTAAAAGCCTAAGATATCAGATTGTTTGCTCGCATCAGATTTCAACTCTTCCTTTCTGATTTTCAATAATTCCAAGTAGATAGCGTAAATGTTTTTAATAGAAATTTAATTTCTGAATTCACATATAGTGAAACATGTTGTTCTCACAAATTTGTGTTACTAGCATCAACCATTACAATCCTTAACTGAAAATCAGGATGTATCCTAATAATTGCCTTTTAAAAATCGAAATTTTCATACGAAGACTTCAAAAATTGTTCTTGTAACTATTATTGCCGCCTTTAGGCAATAATAAAAAAATCAAAATATAATAAAACTACAACTATTTTTCTAGCTTAACTAAGGTAGAAAAGGAAGTAAAAAAAATTGTGGCAGGGGCAAGAGCTGATTAAAATTCAAACTTAAAGACAAGTCTTTTTTTAAGTTTTTGAATCTCTTTTCTTTCTCTTTTCTTTTTTCTTTCCTCATTATTATTATCCTTAAAAATTTTATTCTTTCTGAATACAAATTTCTTTCTCTTCGTTCAGATCTTATCTTTTTCTTTCGATTTCAGCATTTAAAAAGCTATCCATTGTACAGTTCTGTAAACTGATAACATTCTGAATACAATAACTACTAAGAGGAATACAAAAAGTACATAATCTTTGATATTAATGCTACAATTAAACTTTTTCGTTATTCAGTAATATATATATTATAATGCAGCATCAAGAGAAAAATTCTAACACGTTCAACCAGTGGAATTCCATCTGATCAGTAGATAACACTTTTCTAACTGATCAAATTACTACTGGCCAGCAAGGCTTACATAAATTTACGATGAGAGATTTAACTGTGGAAGTCGTCAAATAATGGTGCTAATAAATCATTTTCCCTAATAACTTATACGATACGCTTTTCTAATGAAAGCGATTGATGAGTGGCAAATTTCGTACTTCTTGAAGGGAATCAATAGATCGATTTGTGTTTATGACTCTTCAATATTTCATCAATAATATTTAAAAGTAATCTCTGAAAGTTTATAATTTTCTGGCTTGAATTGTGACATCTTGTTGTGCATAATCATCATAATCGCTGTCCGAGCAGTTTGCTAATTCAAAAATTATATTATCAAATTTTCTTCCCATTTCTGTGCGAATTTGTCAAATTTATTGAAGCTGCTTGATCAAAGTGAATAATGTCCTAATAAATACCAAATGCCTAAAAAACTAATTTTATTTCTCAAAATCGGCATTTTTAAGGTACTTTCTTCAAACAGTTTCTACAAGATTCATTAAATTTATGACAAGTAAAAATATATTTCCATAGGTTATGGATGCTATCAAAATCATTGCGCAATGCGGTATATCAGTGAATAAAGTTGCTTTCTTTTACTTTTCAGATAAACTTTCTGTCATTTCTTTACATAGAGGTTGGAATTTGTTAGCTGAACAAAAACAGCTCGCATTACTGATGACCGCGACATCTGATCGTTGCTGTTGTGGGCTGCTCCATATTAAGGTTGTTGACAATATAAACCATCAATCAACATAATCTGTCAAAATGAAATGTTTTCAAACGAAAAAATGACGTTAATAAAAATGAATAACGCTCACTTAATTTCAAATTTTCGAAATGTTTCTATGGTTACTACCAGAAGAATTTTTGTTCCTTTACCTGCACTTGCACACAAGATCATTTCAAGCCATTTTGTGGAAATATATATTTCATAATGTAACTTAATTCGCATTTCCATCTTTTGGCTAGAATACAATGTTTTTTTGTTTTTTGAGTAGAAAAAAAAAAGACAATGAAAAATACTTATAGAAAAGGAGTTCTCAAGGTTTCAACTTTAATTTTCACCTAGTTCTTGTTCGGTAGAAGTTTTAAAGTTTTGCCCTTCTCATGCTTTAATAGTTTGTACTGAAATTTTAGCACGGTACAATTACGATTGGGGCTTGCTCATTACTGTCAACATTAATTAATGGCTTACTATTCTGGTTTGATATCAATCGGATGTCACATCATTTTTGTATCGAATTCTGTCTTGTTCTCATCGATGTATTTTCAGTTATATCACTTTTTTATGGAATATTGCATATGCGACCTAATTTCTTGAAACCTTACGTTTATTTCACTGTTAGCAACATTTTTTTTTAGACCTCTCAATTATAAACACTTCAAATTTAGATTTGAAAAATGCTCAATTTGTAATCTTTCAAGTGTTTCAAATAAAATGCTTCAAGTTACTATTAAAACAATTATATAAACATTAGCAGAAAAAGTAGCAGAAATCTCACAAAAGTTTTAACCAAGCTGGGAAAATGTTTTTGCTTTTGTTTCTCAGCTAGATTTAAGAATAAGCTACGTCGGGTAAGTGAACAGAGGAGATAAGCCATCATGACTCTAAAAAGTGAATTAGACGTAACTCTATTTGTGCAGAATGAAAGAGATGAAATCTTTTCACGCTCCAGTACCTTAATCATCTGATAATACTTATCTTTCAGTTAGCATGGTGCGTAGCATTAGTTCTTTTATTCATTCTTTCATTGGTAGAGCTAATAAATGGTGGTCAACTTTCAGTCAACATAGCCGTTTCAGTAGCAGAAATTTTTAATTTGGCACAATTCGGCAATATACTTCGAAATTGTAAGTTTCTTTAGACCGCTTTCGATTTTAACACTTTCATCCGGATAATTTATGAAGATTAATGTAGTACTAAACATTTACCCCTAAAATTCCTCGAATTTTGAAGTCAACAATGTCCCCATTCGGTCACTATAGAGTATAGTTTTGAATCTTTCTGGGCACATTTGTTTCATCATTTCTGTTAAAACATTTTAGCAAGTGAACTACTTACAATTTTCTCATTAATCGGCTTGTTGTTATCAATTGCATTGAATATTTGGTTCTTATGTGTGATATTCGAGTACTATCAGTGGTTAACAATTCAGACAACGAAACCGCTTCATTTCAACAACCATAGCTTGGCACCACGATTATAATTCCAAATTTATTCATTTTTTCCAATGCGCTAAATCGATCACAGTTTATTATGCTATATTATATAGTTTATTGTACATCATAATTGAAAGCGAAAGCGAAAAAGCATTCGTAAATTATCAGTAAATCGTAATTATCCATTTTTAATCGTGAACTCACACACTTGCAATAAGATAAACAATAAAAAGTGAAGTTCACTGCTTACTTATAATAATTTGAACATGTCCTGCCACTACATGTAAAAATTTTGCTGCTTATTTGCAATTTTCCAAATGCTAGAAGGGTAAAATCAAATTTTCAATGAAAGCAACTTATATAGTATTAATGCTGATGTTTTGTCGATTATTGATGAGTACAATTTTATTTTCCTACTTCTGATAACTGATTCTTTTCGATATCATTTTTTGCTGATTTGCACAATTTTGCTGATAAGAACGTTTATTCACAGTGCGGTTTTTGTGTTTTTATTTCTTATTCATGAGAACACTAACATGTGAACGTCAACATCGATTGAGCTTTTTTAGCTTTTATCTAAAATATTTATGATAACGGGAAGAATTGCATTATTTGAGAGCAAAGCGACATCCCAAATATTATTTTTGGTGTTTTTGAGGATATCCGATTATTTGCAGAAACACTTATAGTCAGTTCTGTAGATGCTACGAAGTGTTATCACTGCTGTATTTTCCCATTTTCCTTAGTGTGATCTTTTTTCATTTTTTTAGTAGAACAGAATTTCATTTTAGTAGAACAAGCATAAAACTGCTATGAAAGGTCACTGCATTATGAAGAAAGTCCAAAAAAAGTCTCTTTGAATAATTTAATTGGATAAGTTTGGAAGATTTATTTTAAAATGCTAAATTACTAGATTTGAAAAGTAGTTGAGTAAGTCAAAGGTTATTGTTGATAAAAAATTGACAGTGCCGCCAGTTTTAGAATAAAAAGGATAAGAAAGAAAGGCGCTTAATCTTCATTCAACAAGTAACTGGATGAAAAAATACGTCATACAGTTAAGCTAAATTATTAAAAAGCGCTTTATTCAATAGCGCTGGTTAACAAGCAGAAATAGAGCTAATATATACATAGGAGTAGTTCGATTATATAGTGTGTTCGTGTCTTTATAAATTTTTTTCCAAGTAAAGTGTATAATTTTGAAAGAGAAATTACAAATATCATTTGCTGTTACTATTATAAAACAGAATTTCATAGCAAAGGAACATGTGCTTGGCTTTTCGGCTTGGTTGGCTTCAATTTGCCTCATCATTTGTCAAAGAAACGTACACTTGGTTCTAATCTGGTCCATCGTTTGTCAAAGAAACGTACACTTGGTTCCAGTCTGGTCCATTTTTTGTATCTCATTGGTTCCATTAAAGGAGCTTCGATTTCTCCAATGCTTTTCGGTACAACCGATGTCCACAAAATTACTGTAAATGAATGAAATCATATTTTCTAAAAAATAATTTGGTGTGATTATCATAACTACCACTAAGTATGGAAATCTCATTAATTCTTCAAAAGATCAAATAATTTCAGAGGTCAGATGAAAAAACTTGGAAACATTTCCTTCATTTTTTTCAATGTTTTTGTGGAGCTGCTTAATTTTTTCTTTACCAAAAATTAGAATCACAGAGTGCACTAGAACTTAGCGTCGAGAAAAAAGTCTTACCAAATGTGAGAAACAGCGAATATGCCACTTTCATGGCTAAAAGCATACAAAACCTGAAATTCTCACACATCACGTCCTATTACTTAAAAAAACAATGACTTTAATCGCTAGAAATATTTTTTACAGATGAGCTTAGTTGTAAAAAACAACATTAAACAAATAATCATTAATAGATGTACAGTGCCTCATCCCACCTGAAATGTTGCACATTTTGATCTGAACTACCTCTTCTGACCTGAACTGCAGCATATTTTCATATTTATAGTTGTCATCAAATATATTTTTAACAAATTATTATAAAATAGATCAGCAATGATACGGACATTTGACCCTCATTCAAGCAATACGGTATTCAATTTATTATCGCTTTAGTAATCGAAAAGATAAAAAATCATTTGTTAATACTGCAAAAAGCGATATTTAATTTATCACCAGTTTTGAATAGTCAAATGTCATCACTCGCCGAGAAGTATGAAATTGTTGAAAGATCTTTAGTTCTTAGATAACATTTTACTGATGTCAAATTTTGTTACTATCATTATCATTGTCATATAGGAAAATACATTCTTGCTTTAATTTTTTTTTTTTTGAAAATCATTGCAACAAAGCTTCTGGGTACAAACATTGTCTTATGAGGTTCATATAATAAAAGGCGATGCCATTCAGAAATAAAAAATAAAGTCTAGGATTTAAATGTGATATAAAACAATAATTAATTAAAATATTGCATCTTATCAACTAGAAAGAACCTTGTAAAACTTTCTTTGAAAGCATAATTTCCTCAAAAACGTAGTGAAAACAAGATCCGTTTTACTTCTACAATCAGCACATAAGTTCCAAAGTTACTTAATTTGTGGAATAAATATCCCATAGCCAATTTTGGTGGTAATTGATGTAATTTAGAATTTTCACAAAAATTTCTATCATCTAACCAACAAAGAGATATTACAGTCGATTGTGAACCGTCAACTATTCCGAATCTTGAAAACAGAAACTGCAACAGTCTCTGTTCTAGGCTTTCTATCATAAGACTTTCACCGTATTAAAAAGGTAAAGCATAAAGAGCAATGATGATGTTCACGACGTAAGAATCAGCTTTCCGAATTGGTAAAGATTATTATAACAAGATTGCTGGTTTTGCACCAAATGGCATACTACGGAAGCATTACTTTTAAATCAAGTAGTGTTGATAATAAAATGCAAACTGTTGCTGTTCGCTCTATCAAATGCTAAACTTCAACAGCTAACTCTACAAAAAAAAAAAAAAAAAAAGGAAAAAATCATAAAATAGAAGTTTGAATTTTGTTACATTTGTCTAGAATTACAGTAAATAGGTTCCGAACAAATTAGGAATAACAAGAAAGTGTCTTTCCTGATCATGAATATCGATATTAACATTGGATATACTTAATATTTAAGCTTCATTTTCCTGAAAAAAGATAACTTTCCACGAATTGCTAACGATTTTAAATAAAAAGATGGATGTTTCGGAAGCCAAAGGACAGTATGATATATGGCTAAAGCAATTGTTCCATTATTGATATCATCCATTAAATATATTAGAAAACTTGATTGACTGACAAACAACGTCACATAAATGTGTCGTCGAATGTTAACATTTTATAACAATAACAGAGAAGAGTTACGTTAATTCCGCTTTATCTCACATTTATCGCATAAATTGTTCACCTTATGCTGCCTTCTTGCTAATTTACTAAACGACTGCGACAGACAGACATCCTTTTTACAGCTGTAATGAACAAAAAGTTTTGCATCGTCGAATTTCCGTCATTAATTCACAAATTTGATGATATATTATAAAGATATAATATTTAAAGTAAAGAAAATGGTTTTGTTTGTGCCTGGAAAATACGGTACTTCTCACTTTATCATTGAATTACAAATATTAACATTTAAATAATCATTCAAAAAGAAAGTCGAGAAAGTGATAAAACTAACACTTCAGGGATTCAAATTTTTGACAATTAACATAACTTTGAGTCAGTGATGGCGGGAAACCCTTAAGAAACGTTAGTTTTCATCATTGCCGATTAAAAACAGTCATCTTTATGCATAACTTTTCAGGCAAAGAAAGAGAGAAAGAGAAAAACCTGGTTAGAATTGAGGGAAGAGTTGCGTATGTGGATCAATAATTTTGATTACAACTCTAATATATTCAGAAATAATTACAAACGGAAATAATGAGATGCCTCAGCATCAGCTTCCATTAATAGCTATCGTTGCGTTAGGTTGTTATTAATGAAATTCCATTCATAATTAAGACAAAGCGTAAAGATTAGTACCATTTTCAGTGGCGGGCGAAATAAATGATGTGCAAAATTGGCACCTAGACTTGATGATAAAAATACGGTACTTAAGTTCGTAAAATTTTCCGTGAATTTTAGGCAGTATATTTGTTTCAAATGATATCACAATTCTACTTTAGTTGCAAGAATAAAAGCTGAAAAAAAGAACAGTTACCTGTACCAATTGGCGAAGTGATGAATATAATTTCCTGTATAGCACCACAGTTTGTAAGTAAATCCCTTTCCTGAATCAAAACTCATTTCCTTTTCGTTGAACCAAAACCTTCTAAATTTAATAGTTTCGTTTCTTGGAAGCACAAAAAATTGAGTAGTGAGGCCATGATAAAAATGGTCATATGACTCAGAATAACAGAGTCTGATTCGGGAGCGGAAAAAATAAATATGGCATAAATCATTTTGCATTTGAAATACCATGAAATTGTAAATTGTATTTTCACTTAAATCATTTATTGAAAATATCAATAAGTTCTTGTTAAATTACTTTATTGTCGAATTTGAACATCTAAGCAAATTATCGGGTCGGATGAGACATCTCTTCTATAAGAGTTATCATTTCATGAAATAGTACTCCCTTCTCATTAAGAACTAAATACGTCAAGAGAGAAGAATGAAAAGTAAAGAAGTAATAATGTTTGAAATTTTGATGTTCATGAAAGACTACAATTGATTATAATTTATTAGGGCTTTTTGCTGTTAATGGATTGCTACTCGCAATATTTAAATGAAATCCCTCAAATAAGATCAACAAAAGTGGCGGGCGAGTTCGAAAAAGAGAAAAACTGTCACTTTTGTTGTGAAGACTGTAGTGAAAAAGTTTGAAAAGATGTTTTCTCATTTTTGACTTTTTTCCCTGAAAATTTAATTTTCTTTAGCTTGCTTTTTTTTTAAAAGAATTTGTTCCTTATTATTTACACTCTGTTGCTGCAATAAGGCACTAACTTATGAGAATTATATGGGCTTTGAGGTAAGATTATCATTGATTTGTTAAACTTGCCAAATGAATACGAGATAACAATGAAATGAATGTGTTTCTTAAATTCAATAACACGAAATTTTTGGGTAGAGTAATGAAGTGTTAACCATGAAAGCTAAGTGGAAAAGAATTACCCGAAAATTTGTTTCGAATATTGTACAAATAGTTCGTATAAATGACATATTCGAATATGAAGACTAACCTAACTAACACTTGAAATTGTAGGTGTCCGACATATGTAGACACTACTATTTAAGTATATGAATGATATTGACAAGCGTACTGCCATTTAATGACTTATCTCGAAAAAAGTACTGCGAATCTGCACAAAAATCCTGTCCATTCAGCACATGACACTTGATAACTTCAGCTTTCAGTCCCAGTATTTCTTCCTCTTCGTTTAAACCGAAATGCTTAGAAAAAGCTTAAATAAACTGCAAAATACTCAAAGAGCCTAAATAAAAATAATTGAATGTGAAGAACGTATCCACAATCAATTTTGTTGATTGTATGATTTCAATGGACAGAATCAGAAGAAATGCAGCCAGAATTAGTTTAGTTACCAGATGTTCATCGAAGTCACTTAGTCACCATGAACCGTACAGAAATGGCTTTTAGTCAGATTAACTTCGTCATTTTAATGCTTTCATTGTAAGAGTTTACACTTTTCGAAAATTCTTAGGATTTCTTTCATTCTTATGTTTCTTTTTTCTTTATTTTCTCATTTTTCTCCTTTATTCTACACTAAACCCAGTTGAACTTCAATTTTCTAAATGAGCCAATAGCGTCTTCATCTTTTTGAACATAACTTCGACATTTTCGTACAGTTTTTGTTCTGGCTTCTTTTTTTTTTTTTTGGGTGGGGAGGGGAAGTATTTCACAACAATATAATATCGTCATTATATTATGAAACTTCGGAATGTTAGTCGTTCAAGAAATCCAATGCCAACTACTGCACATACAAATCACGCGGACAGTGATATCTCAATTTAAAGAAGCTATTTTCAAATTGAAGAAACACTGTATCTTTCATAAAAACTTTATCAAAGCAGTAGCAAAAAATGTTTCTTGATTTGAAATTTAAAAGTAATAAATTCATTCTTATTCAACTGCTACTTTACAGTTCTTTCTGCATACGTTTGTGTTGAGTAACAAAGTCAACCAGATATAAAAATAAGATTTCTTGATATTGTATTAAATGCATTAAATGCAATAATCGTTGTATAAATATCATTAGAAGCACAAACTTCAACAAATGAATAAAAACATACGAGCATAGCAGAGATAAATAAACCAAAATCAGAGTAATCTATAATTGATCCCGAACATGTGCAACCTCAGCTCCTTCACTTTCTTCACATTCAAACATATCATGTTTCCATACTTCATCAGCTGGATTTCTTTCAGGGTGCTTTTTATGATAGGAACCATGAATGTCATCGTGAAGAACATCATCGCCCCTACGCGCCTTAATTCATGATCATTATCAAATATGTATGATGATTATGATGATCTAGTCATGACTACAGCTATCTATAAATCATTTCTCCGTTTTTATCAACTCTGGAATTTTCTTCTATGATAACACACAATAAGATTTTCATTAAACAAGGGAAATAGCGATGTACCAGAAAATATTTATTTCAAGTATCTCAAAAGATGCTATTACTAATATTCTCGATATACAAAGACGCGATTACTAATACACTCGAGAAATGTTCGAAAAATGTACAGGTCTTACGAGCACCATTTTGAACCAAAAATGGTGACAGAATGACTACAGATAAAACAGATTTCCGGTTCTTATGCCAACTAATTATATATAACATACAGTAACTGAAATCACAATATGCAAATTTAGCTGATAACTATAGTGATAAAAGCAAATTATCCTCTACTAGAAGCAATAGAACAATGCTTACTGCCTTTCAGACGGCTGAAATTATAAATGAAATGATAAAATGAAAAGTTTGCGGAAGAGAAATCAGTCACGATAACTTTATTATTGGGAAGCATGATATATTGCATTTAGCAGAAGAGGACCCTATCTTAAATTTGTTCAGTAGTCTATGTGAAAGTCCTCATATTCAAAAGCTCAAAACTCCCACACATGCAACATAACATGAAGTAGAGTTAAGTCAAAATTCAAAGACATCAGAAAAAAATTTCTTAATATAACGGATATCACAATTTGAGATGTGTCACCGATCCAATCGTGCGGTCGGTAAACATACAGTAGAGAAAATATCTCAGTCACCATAAAATGGAAAAAAAAAATAATTATATAATTAAGAACAACATATTTTGCATTTGAAATAGCATGAAATTGTATTTGATGAATTAAAAGAGAAAAATCTTGTTGTAAACCGGGATAAATTTATAAAAAATACCTTTCGAACATTGCGCCAACCAACTGGTAGCGATTGCCAACCACTATCAGTAAAAGCCGAGTATCTTGACCGAGATATGCGCACTGATTTTGTAGCTCGATCATCATGCTTTAAAATCAGAATGAATGCAACAGACAATCTCCAGGAGAATAATGAAGAAATATTAGAACAGAGCTAAATTTGAAGAAGCGTTATTTGGTGGGCTATCTTATTTGTACTTCCCAGTTTGATAAAGTGAGACAGACATCTTAGTAACACTGCATCACATCATCCGATGTCACACGAAAGATAGAGTATATATATATATATATACTCTCTGAAGTTCACCAATATTTACCACTGCATAATATGTAGCTCGTTTAGAAATACTGGTAGCCTTTGTGTGGGAAGGATTACCGTAAAATAAGAGCGTCCTGTAGGAACTTTACACGGATCGAACAGATTCATCACCGGCTTCTCTTCATCGTTTGTTGATTTGTTCTGCTCATTCCCTCGCTGATATGACTGACGACTATTACGCCCTGCAAAAATATCTTGTCAAATAATCTTGTGGAAGACTTTCTAACTAAATAACAAATATATTGCTTAAAAAGGATAAGGAAACATATCTAATATCCAAAATCTTGAAAGAACACGAAATATATTTCTTATCTTAATCACTAAGACCAATGATTTATTGCTGTCGCGTAGCGAATACATAAGTGTGCGTAAGCAATATTTATTTTCTCGTTTTTTTTGTTCTTTCTTAAACGTTCCATTTATTGCATGAAAGTGAAACCAGTTTAATATTCATTATCTTAATGGTCCTTATTATAGACGATATAAAGTCTTACTATCTTTAAAAAATTTCTTTAAATCCGTAACAAAATTAAGACTTTATTTTAAATCACCTAATTGCAGTTAGCGGAAATTCCTTCTCCAATGCTAGTCGGAATTCAATTTGGCTTAGACTCAGTTACCAATCATTTCTTTGTTGCTTTTGCCAGAAATATCAGCTTAGCGACCACAGTTTTTGTTCTTTTTGCTCAAACACTTATCCATCCCATAATATCCCACTTAGCAATCTAGTTTCTGTAATAATTCCAATGCTAGAACATTCTAGATTCTCTCATATAGCTTTTAGCTGTTCAAGAATTCTTTAGGTCGCTTTGACGGTTGCTATTTATTGTCGATCATCTCTCATGATAGAATTTAAGTTATTATAAAGGAGCTTTTTGACAGTGATGATTTTCCAAAATTTTCAGTTAAAACTCTTCTTATAAACTCATAGCTTTCTCATTCAATATCGTAGCCTTTAACGATTGCAAGATATTTCCTTTAAAACAACAAAACAGGTAATTCAGTTTTCGGATATCTGGTGAATGCATTACGACAAAGCTATTCTAGAATTCTCTTCACGTGTTAGCAGTGGTAATCAAAATGTACTGTTGTCTGACAAGCATTATTGATGGGTTGCTCCTTTACATAGCCCTTAGCTTGAGTACTGACAACTTGCGGTCATTCATATACATGGTTAGGAGTACAGTAGCTTCTCCTTCGCACAGTTACCTACTTTTTTGCGGTAAAAAATGTATCGCGTGGGACAGACGTGTTGCATCACGACCCAGCTATCTTATGACACTGAATCTCAGATTGAAGCGGACATGTGTTAGATTAGGCATGGGGTCGAAGAGTCGGTCTTTAGGTGCGGGCAGAGTCGAGAAATCGGGGCGGCCGTTGGAGGATAGTTCCGGTAGCCGGCAGGACAGAACCCGTCACAGGAAGAGCAACAACACTCCGAAAAAGGCTGTTACCGGTTATTCCTCTAAAGTTGTGTCCTCTAAGAGGGTAGTCTACCGCTCGTCGCCGTTACGAAAATCAAAACCATCACCGGTCAACGAACTTGATATATTGGCATTAAGTCAAAAAGAACAGCAGTCTAAGTCAGGTTAGATATTAATTCACAGATCATGCTTTCTAATATCTTTCTGTGCAATTTCTGGTTTGTGCATGTATGTTTGAATTAAAGAGAATCAGGACTAACGCATAAAAGGTTAAAAACTGCATCTTTATCATTATATTTCAACATATAAGGTTTGATGATATTTTTATATATTAGAATGCCAAAACTGTCCAGTACAGCTTCCGTGGTACGTGATTTCATATAGGCACAGGAGGTTAGAAATTGTTGATTAATAAGTTAGAGTTTCTTTGCCTTTCCTTGTTGCTTTATTTTGATTGCTGCTACGGTTCTTTTGAGAAGCAGTTTAAGATAAATACTAATGCTTTTCTCGACGAAAGCGTTTTCACTTTCAGTAGTAAACATCTCTAAATTAGTAGTTTATGAAGTGGCGATAGAACATTGAGCAGCTGATTTAAGTGGCTGTATTGGTTTTGGGATTTTAAGATACTGTTATCAGTAAAAGATTAAATTTAGGAAGATCTAAGAAATACTAATTATTTCCAAATTAAAGCTTCACTTTATATCTTCTAAGTTGATCACTACAGATATTCTAGTATTTTATTAGTCTGAGTTACATAACCTTGCAAAAAAAAGGTGACATGTTAATCGTTAAACTAAACGTTCTTAATGTAATTGTTTCCAGGAAACCGTGGAAAAGATGGCACTCATGTAAGTGGTTCTTCTGTTTATCTTGATTAGCGACATCTTTTTTGTTTTTTTTAACAGTTGCGTTAAGAGAAAGCGCGCTGTTTTTAGAATATCATAATAAAGGTTACAAAAGGCGGTATCAGAAGTAGAGATAATAAGCGAAGTTTAGAAATTCATTTAGATCTAAAGTATAGATTTTTGTAGTTTTCTTACTGCCATTTCATTGCCTCCTAATATTAACGATTAATAATACCAAAACAATAAAACTTGAGGTTGTAGGCTTATTAAGATTAAAAAACTTTCTATAATGTCTAATCTGGTTCATGAAATGAACTGAATTTGCAGCCTATTTTCTGAGTCTTCTTTCACATTGTTTCATTCAACTGCATCTAAGGCAAGTTTCCTTCTCTAAAAACCACGCTCTTTGAAATAACGTGAAGTTCTTGTTGAGATAATGAAACACATTGCTACAATTTTACAAATGACTTGCCATCAACTGTTGTGGGGCTCAAGAGCAGTCCATGGTTGCTGAGTAATAAAAAGGCTGTTAACAAAAGAAAAAAAAAATGTAGGATTCATGTGAATAGTTCTATCTGTACAGAAATTTAGTTCTTAGCTCAAATAGTTTAACAAATTTCTAGAATCGTTCTGAAAGAATGCAGTATCGTCAGTTTGCTGGCATAATGGATAGGCGTGGATTTTTGGGCTCAAGAAACAGGTAAGCTCCATTTGCGTAGATATATGGACTTATTATAAGAATAATGAAGAAATTTTACTGCGCTTATTGATTTCTTTTTGTTTTCCACCACTTTTTCTATTTCAGTGGATTTGGAATGAGGCAAGGGTAAGTGTGGACGATTGGTGACATTTCGGTATATATAATGTCACATATTTGAGAGGGAGAGCCCCAAATCAGAATCGTTGCTTGTTTTTGTTTTTTGCTAACGTTGCTGAAAGAGAGCCGTTTTGACCAAGTTTGTGGCTTCATATATATATGTATGTTCGCCGAAGGTTGGTTAGAAAATAAATATTATTTACAGAATGGAATATCGTCGCACTCCGATGTATCCGCTGCGACGCGGCATTGGAGGAGGCGACTTGGCCGATCAGCGTACATACTACGGTTATTTTTCTTTATTTCTTTGAAATTTAAAGGTTGATCAACTTCTTGTAGAAACTTCAAATAATCATTAAGAATTACTTCTCTTTATTAACAGTTCTAAAATTCCTATACTATCAGAAGTCTTAGTGATTAAGATAAGAAATATATTTCGTGTTCTTTCAAGATTTTGGATATTAGATATGTTTCCTTATCCTTTTTAAGCAATATATTTGTTATTTAGTTAGAAAGTCTTCCACAAGATTATTTGACAAGATATTTTTGCAGGGCGTAATAGTCGTCAGTCATATCAGCGAGGGAATGAGCAGAACAAATCAACAAACGATGAAGAGAAGCCGGTGATGAATCTGTTCGATCCGTGTAAAGTTCCTACAGGACGCTCTTATTTTACGGTAATCCTTCCCACACAAAGGCTACCAGTATTTCTAAACGAGCTACATATTATGCAGTGGTAAATATTGGTGAACTTCAGAGAGTATATATATATATATATACTCTATCTTTCGTGTGACATCGGATGATGTGATGCAGTGTTACTAAGATGTCTGTCTCACTTTATCAAACTGGGAAGTACAAATAAGATAGCCCACCAAATAACGCTTCTTCAAATTTAGCTCTGTTCTAATATTTCTTCATTATTCTCCTGGAGATTGTCTGTTGCATTCATTCTGATTTTAAAGCATGATGATCGAGCTACAAAATCAGTGCGCATATCTCGGTCAAGATACTCGGCTTTTACTGATAGTGGTTGGCAATCGCTACCAGTTGGTTGGCGCAATGTTCGAAAGGTATTTTTTATAAATTTATCCCGGTTTACAACAAGATTTTTCTCTTTTAATTCATCAAATACAATTTCATGCTATTTCAAATGCAAAATATGTTGTTCTTAATTATATAATTATTTTTTTTTTTCCATTTTATGGTGACTGAGATATTTTCTCTACTGTATGTTTACCGACCGCACGATTGGATCGGTGACACATCTCAAATTGTGATATCCGTTATATTAAGAAATTTTTTTCTGATGTCTTTGAATTTTGACTTAACTCTACTTCATGTTATGTTGCATGTGTGGGAGTTTTGAGCTTTTGAATATGAGGACTTTCACATAGACTACTGAACAAATTTAAGATAGGGTCCTCTTCTGCTAAATGCAATATATCATGCTTCCCAATAATAAAGTTATCGTGACTGATTTCTCTTCCGCAAACTTTTCATTTTATCATTTCATTTATAATTTCAGCCGTCTGAAAGGCAGTAAGCATTGTTCTATTGCTTCTAGTAGAGGATAATTTGCTTTTATCACTATAGTTATCAGCTAAATTTGCATATTGTGATTTCAGTTACTGTATGTTATATATAATTAGTTGGCATAAGAACCGGAAATCTGTTTTATCTGTAGTCATTCTGTCACCATTTTTGGTTCAAAATGGTGCTCGTAAGACCTGTACATTTTTCGAACATTTCTCGAGTGTATTAGTAATCGCGTCTTTGTATATCGAGAATATTAGTAATAGCATCTTTTGAGATACTTGAAATAAATATTTTCTGGTACATCGCTATTTCCCTTGTTTAATGAAAATCTTATTGTGTGTTATCATAGAAGAAAATTCCAGAGTTGATAAAAACGGAGAAATGATTTATAGATAGCTGTAGTCATGACTAGATCATCATAATCATCATACATATTTGATAATGATCATGAATTAAGGCGCGTAGGGGCGATGATGTTCTTCACGATGACATTCATGGTTCCTATCATAAAAAGCACCCTGAAAGAAATCCAGCTGATGAAGTATGGAAACATGATATGTTTGAATGTGAAGAAAGTGAAGGAGCTGAGGTTGCACATGTTCGGGATCAATTATAGATTACTCTGATTTTGGTTTATTTATCTCTGCTATGCTCGTATGTTTTTATTCATTTGTTGAAGTTTGTGCTTCTAATGATATTTATACAACGATTATTGCATTTAATGCATTTAATACAATATCAAGAAATCTTATTTTTATATCTGGTTGACTTTGTTACTCAACACAAACGTATGCAGAAAGAACTGTAAAGTAGCAGTTGAATAAGAATGAATTTATTACTTTTAAATTTCAAATCAAGAAACATTTTTTGCTACTGCTTTGATAAAGTTTTTATGAAAGATACAGTGTTTCTTCAATTTGAAAATAGCTTCTTTAAATTGAGATATCACTGTCCGCGTGATTTGTATGTGCAGTAGTTGGCATTGGATTTCTTGAACGACTAACATTCCGAAGTTTCATAATATAATGACGATATTATATTGTTGTGAAATACTTCCCCTCCCCACCCAAAAAAAAAAAAAAAGAAGCCAGAACAAAAACTGTACGAAAATGTCGAAGTTATGTTCAAAAAGATGAAGACGCTATTGGCTCATTTAGAAAATTGAAGTTCAACTGGGTTTAGTGTAGAATAAAGGAGAAAAATGAGAAAATAAAGAAAAAAGAAACATAAGAATGAAAGAAATCCTAAGAATTTTCGAAAAGTGTAAACTCTTACAATGAAAGCATTAAAATGACGAAGTTAATCTGACTAAAAGCCATTTCTGTACGGTTCATGGTGACTAAGTGACTTCGATGAACATCTGGTAACTAAACTAATTCTGGCTGCATTTCTTCTGATTCTGTCCATTGAAATCATACAATCAACAAAATTGATTGTGGATACGTTCTTCACATTCAATTATTTTTATTTAGGCTCTTTGAGTATTTTGCAGTTTATTTAAGCTTTTTCTAAGCATTTCGGTTTAAACGAAGAGGAAGAAATACTGGGACTGAAAGCTGAAGTTATCAAGTGTCATGTGCTGAATGGACAGGATTTTTGTGCAGATTCGCAGTACTTTTTTCGAGATAAGTCATTAAATGGCAGTACGCTTGTCAATATCATTCATATACTTAAATAGTAGTGTCTACATATGTCGGACACCTACAATTTCAAGTGTTAGTTAGGTTAGTCTTCATATTCGAATATGTCATTTATACGAACTATTTGTACAATATTCGAAACAAATTTTCGGGTAATTCTTTTCCACTTAGCTTTCATGGTTAACACTTCATTACTCTACCCAAAAATTTCGTGTTATTGAATTTAAGAAACACATTCATTTCATTGTTATCTCGTATTCATTTGGCAAGTTTAACAAATCAATGATAATCTTACCTCAAAGCCCATATAATTCTCATAAGTTAGTGCCTTATTGCAGCAACAGAGTGTAAATAATAAGGAACAAATTCTTTTAAAAAAAAAGCAAGCTAAAGAAAATTAAATTTTCAGGGAAAAAAGTCAAAAATGAGAAAACATCTTTTCAAACTTTTTCACTACAGTCTTCACAACAAAAGTGACAGTTTTTCTCTTTTTCGAACTCGCCCGCCACTTTTGTTGATCTTATTTGAGGGATTTCATTTAAATATTGCGAGTAGCAATCCATTAACAGCAAAAAGCCCTAATAAATTATAATCAATTGTAGTCTTTCATGAACATCAAAATTTCAAACATTATTACTTCTTTACTTTTCATTCTTCTCTCTTGACGTATTTAGTTCTTAATGAGAAGGGAGTACTATTTCATGAAATGATAACTCTTATAGAAGAGATGTCTCATCCGACCCGATAATTTGCTTAGATGTTCAAATTCGACAATAAAGTAATTTAACAAGAACTTATTGATATTTTCAATAAATGATTTAAGGGAGCTATTTCCCTAATTTCTAGAACAATTGAATGAGGTAAGTTGTGCGCAAAAGCAACACTCCCGATTGATTGATGCGACCGCCGATCGGCAGTGAGTGTCATGTGGTCTCATATTGTCAGACTGAAATGCATAAATTGTGTAACGAGTGCACGCTGCGTGACATCGATCAGCTGCACTTCATTCGTCAGCATGCTGTTCGAATAACAGTGGTGGCGAGAAGAAGCAGTCCGCTAAAAGTGACACACACGTGCTTCACTTCGATCTCAAGCATGCATTTTTTATATCTGTGCTTTGTGACTGACGACGCATCTGTGTTGTATACTTTTTGCTTCCCGCAACATCACGTTTCAACGCCTAAACGCTGCACTTCGAGTGACTTATCGCTTGCCACATTCCACTTTTCTGTTTATTCATGCAATGGTAAGTTGGGCTTATTGATTGGCTTGTAATTCGGAATGACGTGGTGTGTGACATCGGACGCGTAACGTATTGCATGTGGTACAGAAATTAAAATAAAAACCATACAGAATGGAATTCACCTTCCACTTACATTTCCGGAGACATTGTCTATCCTATATGAATGAAATAAGATGATGATGACGATAAGTTGGCTAATTCCTATAGCCTGCCCATTCATTATCTTAGTATCCTAGGAAGAGTGCCGGTCTTTTAAGCATTCACTTGAACCCGTTGATTAGACTACTACTGCGATGAAATGCAGAATTCATGGGAATTCGAGAGCTATTTATATGTGTTTTCGAATGTCTTCGTTTAATAGATGTATAGAAAGAAAGCATTAAGAAGCAACCAACAAATAATTTTCTGATGAACGATTAACGAACGATCACATTAACAAACTGTTATTCTATAACAGTGGTTTAACTTTTCCAAAAATCGATTATAACTGTCCGCATTTGATTACTTAACAGTAATCAGAGTGACAGTTTCATTGTGCCTTTATAAAGAAACCTAAGGAAACTGATTAACTGCCCCCTTCCCACACAAAGGTCAAGTTGGACAAATGTGCTTTTGATGTTGTCCCTCCTGTCTATCCTCCGATCAACTTTTATACGTAATGATAGTAAGCATCATTATCAGTATAATCATCACGAGACATTATTCCCATAATTGTCACCAACCTGTTATTGCACTCTCAGCGTGATTTATTTCCAGGAAGGATGGCCCATTTTCCCCTTCAATTCGAAATGGGCGGTATGTTGTGATCACAACCGAAATATTATTGCTGTCAGCTGACAATGAATGCACTTCCTTCTCTCGTCTCTTTAGTTGTTGTCCGAATAGAATGAGGAGCTGAATCGAATTTGGAGTGGGCATATCAATCTGTCCCACCTCGTCTTATTTAAGCTTAAGTCTAAGTCTAGCCTTTCACATTCCAAACTGATATTTCTTCCTTTCTTTTCGCATCATCATATTCAAATGATTCCTTTCATTCAAAAACTTTTCAGCAAGAAGTTCACATCATTTATTCATATTCAGATATTCAAATAGTCGCTTTCATTCAAAACATATTTGTATTTCCCACCAACTTTGTTCGTTATTCTTTGTTTGCAAGGTTAATTAGGTACTTTCCGATTCTGTCATTCCCTTTCTCTAATTCCGAATTATTGTGATCTGTAAACTCCGTACTATACTGTTTCACTTCCTGTTTTTGCCAATATTTGCATTAGAAATTGCAGACAAACACTGGCAGTAAAACGACATATGTTTGTTTACTATCGCTCTTATTATCAAATTTTAGTAAATTTGCAGCATATATAGAAAGGAGACGCTAATTTGTGTCACAATTTGTCATAATAGTTCTTCTCTTCATGTGTCCAAGTAAGCCTTTATGTAAATTCATGCCTGTAAATTTTTTGTATCCATATAGAATTTCAAATAAATCCTGACTGGGACGATTATAGTTATTGATTGGGTGATTATAATTATTGATCTTTCGGTAGAAATTCGGGTTTTGGAATTTCTTGATTGTTATTTAAACAACATTAGTTTATTTCAGTGAATTGGGATTATGATGAAGAGAGTGAATGTGGTGAGTTTTTTACAAGTTTGTGATGAATTCTTTAATGATTTTTTTCTGATTCCATAAGGCTTTGACGAAAATAAGATTTTTAATTAATAAAGAAAATTTTTCAACGGATTAGAAGATTCGCCAACATATTATCAGATTCCGGAACTGTCATGTATATTATAAGATTCCTAATATTCTACAAATTCAAAAACAACCACTTGAGAATTATAACACAGATTTGAAAAGAGAGGTAAACTTCAAAATTATAATATGCTGAAAAGCAGCGAATTCTAGAAATGAACTCTTCAATAAATCCCGAATTTTGCTTTTTTGCTTTTTTTACAATTTTATTCTTTTTATATTCCGATTGATCAGTCATGTAATTAGAAGATACACTGTTTCTCTTTATTTTGTTCTAATTATCCTACCTTTCTAATTATTCTAGGACCAAAATATTGGCCAAATGCTGATGGTCGTAATCAGTCACCGATAAATCTGGATTTATGTCTGATGAAATATAATACAATGGAACCGCTTAAGTTTCTGAATTATGATGTGAAATTTAAAGGTGAAATTGTCAATAATGGACATTCTGGTAAATTTTTTCCAAATTTTCTTTTTTTGAATGAATAAAAACCGATCGTCTTTTTGCGATTGGTGTTATTGTTCCTGGGGGATATTTGATTACAGTAGATATCTCATAAAGAATTAGGGCGTTCAAGACAGAACTGACGCCGTTCCTTGCCTATGGTATTGCTGAGATATTTTATATCTTACGTATGAAACTTGGACTGCCATACGGAGTACTAGAAATCATGACTAAATTGGTAAGTAGTAATGTCTTGAATGGAGAGTGTATTATGATTCTATTTGATACACAGATCTGTTATCTATGGGACCATTGAACTGTCTGGATACTTCATCTTCAGTGATTAAACTGCTTCCTTGTTCATCTCTGTTTCATAATTAAATGTATAAATTAGACACACATAGAACTGTTGACTAAGTTGGTCTTTTAAGCGAAGTAGACCAGGAATAGCATATTTATAAAATCAAATTACCTCAGAAGATTTTTTTGAAGTATTTACAAGTTTAAAAATCTTTTTACATGTTAGTTTTAT